CCCCCCCCCGGTGGGGGGGATTATTGGAATCAATGGATGGTGAAAATGTTCGTGGGAGAATTTTAAGAGATAATCAGTTGTCGATGGGACTGAATCAGCTATTGTGAGAACGCATGGACGCGCCTATTGTCCGGCATTCTGTGTCAATGGAGTCTTGGTACGTAGGAGTGGGAGGGAATCTGAGGACAATGTCCTCTTCTCGTTCAGCAGTCCTGACAGTTTCACTACCTGGTGTTACGGGGATGGGCAACAATTTTTTTGCCGTGAAAATGTGGGGAGATGATTTTTTCATTTTTTGTGGCTCGCTTTTGGACGCTTTTTTTCGGTTCCTCACGTCTCCTTCGATAGCTCAGTTGGTAGAGCGGTGGACTGTAGTTGGTTTGATTCATAGTGGACATCCATAGGTCGCTGGTTCAAATCCGGCTCGAAGGAAATTTTTTTTTATTTGGATTTTCGTGAAAATGACTCTGTATGGACGATAAAAAGAATAACAGTAAGAGCCGGGATAAAAATCCATGATTTCTTGTATTATTCACGATTGACTAGTTGGTTTGATTCAAAATGGACATGCATAACCTCTGATCCCAATCCGATTCATGAAAATAATTCAACATCATCAAAAAAAATTCAACAACAGTAAAAATCAAACTAAAAATCGATAACTCCCCGCATTATTCATGATGAATCAATCTACGGAGTACTTCATACCGATTTCGTTGTCGATTTGAAAGCCATATCGAAAACACAACCGCTAATAATAGATAGCTATAGGCCATTGTTTCGATTTTTACGACCATTTTTTACCACTAAAATATACGAACGTGAATTTTTTCCCCCCTTGATACCGTCAACCTGACATCCATTGCGTATGTCCGAGGGAGAGCTTTCTGAATTTAATAATTGATGCGTGTGGCGCCAGCGTTTGAGGGGGAAAACGTACGTTTCATTTATTCAACGTCCAAGTTCAAAGTGTATCGGAGTATATTTCTGTTGTAGCGTATGTGGACAGTATGGAGAACAAGGGAAGGGCCATATGTTCGACATATCGAATAAATTAAAGCCCTGTTGCTAGCTGCATTATCGACTCCGACGCTCGCTGGACAATACTAGGGAGCACGGAGTTTGGAAGACAACGGGGGTAAATATGCGTGCGAAATCATGCATATACACGTGAAACGGGCTTACATAAGGGGCTCCCTAGACAATGCCGGGTAGTGCATTCTGAAAATTATAGAGGGGCTGTTGTGTTTCTTGGAATTTTTTGCCACCTGTTTCCCTGAATAATTCTCCGGCGATGGAGACATTCTGAGGACAATAGAATAGAGCCTTTCATACGGAGACACATTGTCTCGGAATCGTTATATCTCTGATTTGAGGATAAACCTCATGGCGAGTGACCTTCACCCAGACCTCATGTCGTTCACACAAACGGCATAGGCTATGTTTCTATTTATAAAAACGGAGGAATACAGAAATAATCTCGCGGCGAGAGTGTTGAGAATGCTCTCCACTGCACTCCCCAGCGGTCGTTCAACTCGGACGAAATTAACTCCTAAAATCTAGGAATTCAGCTTAGGGCAGATGATTCGAAATTTCAGAGCGCACGAGGGAGAGGAAAATTTAAAATGAAAACAAAAAAAATATTGAGTCGACCGTGACAGGACTCGAACCTGCAATCTTCGGATCCGAAGTCCGACGCCTTATCCATTAGGCCACACGGTCGGATGGTGAAAACTGTTTCAACAATATCACTTATTAATGTCACCGCCTAATTTTCTGCGCGCGCAAATCAATTTTTCACTATTCATATTAAATTATCTTCTTGAGTTAATTTCAAAATTCTCAATTTTCGTTGATTTCCGAAACGAAGTGACTGTACCGGCGTCGACAATGAAGGGATCTGTACCAATATTTTTTTAAGAAATCCGTTGTACCGACTGGGATAACAAATTTTCATTTGAATAAATTTTTTTTTCGTTTTCGAAACGTCCAAGAGAGGTTGATAACGCCATCTGTGGTTTGAGTATGAAGCTTAAATACAATTGTGCAAATCCAGTTAACGAAATAATTATATGCAGAATTCTGACAGAATTTTCGCGACCTAAAAACGGGAAATGAGCGGATTACCAATCATTAACAGTTGTCATGCTGATGGGAGAAATATGATGCAAACAATCGAAGAATCTCTCTCGCGAAAAATGAGAAACAATGGAATGGGTTCATTGTAGCGACAAATTCTAAGAACTCTTACCTTCTTCAGAACACCTCACGCAGTTATTAACGATATCCCAGCAATAATGCACCAAATTAATAACAACAATTTCCCGGTAAATAAAACATTGAGTTTCTTGGATGTCACCACAGAATTATCCAGTCCTCGCCGTTTCGACAACCCCAGGGCAGATGGCGGCACTGGATGCACTGGTGGTACGAATATTCCAGAGGGTTGATCGATGATGATATCCCCCTGGGACAGTAGATTTCACCCCAAATGTTGACTGAATAGAAACACTACAACTTGGGAATATTATATGAAGCAAGGGGATTGAATTTAGAAGACGTCAGGAGTCGACTGAAATAGTTCAATTGAATTATTCATCATCGCTCTCATATTTTCAATTTTTTCATCACTCATTTAATGTTTTCATCGACGAAAAAAATTCAGGAATAGTTCTCCGATGTTCTCATAAAATGCAAATCTCCGTAATTAGTGAAGATAGTTGTACCCGCGACGCAAATGGCTCGAAACTTGAGTTTAATCGGATAGAGTATTCTATCTCGCAAACGTGAACGTACTACCGGTGTAGGAAGCATATCTCCTGGGAGTGAGGGGTGTCTGTACACGAAATACCGTGTGTTTACGGTAGCGGTGAGTGAGGGCTGAGGCACAGCACGAACCCGGTCATTAGGGGGTGATTAAACTTCCGGCGGACGTGTGTCCCTTTCGATAGGCCCGGCTTATCAGATGGCTTTATTGGAAATTATTTGGAAAAGCCAATTTTGTTTAACGCAATGAAATAGAAGCGATTGCTTTGTTCTCAAAATCTGAAGAGGTCTGAATGTGATGAACATTCCGATCAATCAACTTTTGGAGTGGTTTCGTAAGAAACTTTGACAATTCAGTAGTGAAGCCGTAAAACGGTTCGATTCGATTTTGAATATCTCGAAATCTAAGGCAGATAGCGAAATTTTTGTTATAACCTCTTTTACAGCTCTCAATTTCCTCTACAGAAAAGGTTATTACGAAAACCTGGCTATCTCCCTTAAATTCGGAGATATGCCTCGATAACTCAGCTAAGAGCTGAGACGGTAAGTAGGCGCTTCAATGTTGCTGACGATGGGACGAAGAGCGTCTCTTTATGAATTTTGGGGCGACCATAGAGTCAGAGACCCAGATAGCAAAACTTTCCGATCCACTGATATTTACCAGCAAGTTTAATTTTTTTTCTGCCGCAAGATTGTAAATAATTTGTCGTCAGTTTGGCGTCATAAGAACGACACATGCAGGTGATAACCCATCAAGTTATCACCTAAATTTGCTTCAAATTTGCAGCAAAAATTTGGAGTTAATATGCACATATTAACATGAGCAAAAGTGCGGTTAAAAATTGCAGTCAATTTGGAACAAGATAACATAAATTGTTACCCTTTATAGAAAAAAAAAAAATCCATTAATATCAATTTTACAGAAAAAATTGTCGATGATTGGTCCGTTTTATGCTCAATTGTACGAGTTGGATCTTTCCTGAGTTGTCACAGCGCTGAAGATTCCGACTGCAGTGTTTCCGAAACGTCGCCACATCCATCTGAAACCAATGATATTACAATTAATCCCGACCGCGAACGCCTCGAAACCACTATTAATGCCTTATTAAGGTTCCACCACTGCTTATTATGGCACAATTCATCATTCCATTTTATTATGACCCAATTAATAAGTAGAGGTGATACCCCTTATTAAAAAGTTGTTCATAACTTGTAAACAAGGGATTCTACATTTCTCCTCCCACTTGAAATGGAATTCCTTTACGACTCGTCTACCTCGAATTCCTTCAATTCTTCCAGCCAACCTCGTTCACTCTACAAACCGAGGAAGACATCTGGCCAGGTTTCCCATATTTTTAAATGCAAAAACAGCAATATCCCTCCCTCCAACAAACACATCGGCTGCAATAAAGAGTAGTGGGGAGTCTCTCCCCCGCATGAGCAGACGCCGACTAGTCTCGTGGCTTGCCTCCCGGCGTCTGGCTAGTGGAGCGCAGAGCGTCAAACCGCCAACATTAATTGTTACAACAGAATTTTCAAAATCCGATCACCGACACAATGGCTTGTACTGAGAATATCGTGCCGTCCGGTGCAATACCAAAAAAATCGTGCACAAACCTATCGATTTCATCCCCCAGTGATCACAATCGTCTTCAGCCCTGGCAGCAGAGGCTCTTCGGTAAACAATTGTTTCACTGCGGTGATGGTGATAAACTTGTTGATGTTAACAGTGCACTTGTCGGGGAGAAAGGCCCTATGTGCGACATCATTGGGGTTTATTTCAGTTTTATCAATCCCGGCGCCACGTGCGATGATTTCACGAGACAATTACTTGGATTGTATCAGAATATCAATGCTGGTGTTTTTGTGAATGGGGATCACGGGGAAGGGGGGAAGAAGAAGAAATTTGAGGTAGTGCATGTGGTGCTCTGGAGTAATGTTGCCGATGTTCTGGATTTTGAGGAGAGCTTTCGAAATCATGTGGCCGATTTGCCGTGGCTAGCTGTGCCTAATCGGGATTACGAGAGGAAGGTGAGAAGTAGTAGGGGACGGGGGGTAAAATGGACACTTGAGACTTTTTTTTTTTAATTCCTCATAACTCAGAAACAAAATTATCAATGGAGTTCAGTTTAGGCTCATCCCAAAGGGCAAGAATTGTTCTTTACATTGAAAAAAAAAATTATTGAATTTCATCACGATTTCAACCCGTCATGATTTTCATCGGTAGTTCAACTTTTTTTTTCATTAAAGCTTGCAGACCTCGGCGGAGGTTTATGCGGAATGAAAAAATTATTTGAATGACTAATGAAATACTTTTTTTATACCATCTTCTGAATCAATTGAAAGAGAGAGGTCTGGATGAATAAAATGGTTTGAAGTCACACAACAGGCGAATTCTGTGAGAGTCAGAGAGAACATTTTTCCCGACAGCAACTTGCTTTGTGCAGGTCGTTCACTTGAATATGTAATTTCAGAGAAAGCTCGAGCTTATTCTGCCTCACAATTATTTATTATCATTTAGACTCTGAATGAGGGATTTCTCGGGTAATTGGTGTGATCAGAAAGCAACTGCGTACTTCTACCCCTCATTCAACGATGCAAACGAGTTTTAATTGGACGTTAAGTGATTGACGAAGAATAGACGGGAAATGGAGGAGTATTGATGCATTTTTTTATGAATAGATTCAGAGGTGCCTGTAGGAATCAGTTGGGGATTGCCACAATCTTGAGGATGATTTGCACGACTAGGATTTACACTGAGAAAAAAATTTATTCCTTCCAAGAAAATGTTATTGGCGATATCTTTTTCATACTCTTAGTAGAAGAAAATATCTCTTTTGGAACGTATTTCTCCAGGCCAGTCATTTCCAGGTGCTCCGAAATCAGTTCCAAGCGTGAGAATTATGGTGATCTATAAGAATATTCTTCTGCATATGACCTCGAAGAAACTCCAATAATAATTATTAACATTTGGAATTATTCCAATTTTCTTTACCTGAGAAAATCGCCAATTTGTAAAATCCGGAAGATATCGGAGAACATTTTGTCAAGGTCATATGTAGCATAATAATCAGATTGTTCAACATCACTGTAATTTTTGAGGATAGACTTGGACTCTCTGAAAATGACTGTCCTGGAAAAATTCGTTCTGAAAAAATATTATCTTCTGACGAGAATATCGATCCTTGGCAGGACTAATTTTTTCTCTCAGTGTAGTTTCGACATTGCGATGTAGCAGGCTTCGATCCGATTTATTGACCTCTCTGAGCCATATCGAGTCTGTCATGTCAGGAGGATGAAATGAGGGCTTGAATCCGTGAGTGGTTGGAAGGAGTGATTTCCTGCTGAGGGAGTGAGCCTTTGTCATTACACTTCAAAGGAAAATCTAGGGGTGCACATGCACCTACCCATTATCAACTCATTCTTCTTTACGCGGAGTCTTTAGTGCAACTAGGCATGAGTCACACGGGGCAAATCTTCATCAAGCAACTTTATTTTCAACTTCAGGGGATGAATTTTCATCGGTGGACACTTTATTGTTGCAGTTTCACCCTCTGTTCTGGTCGCCTTCGTCTTAGGTGTTTGAAAATAATAATCATTAGTCATATCGAGTGGGTAGTCATGCGTGTAGAGGCTCAGACTGGAAACCTAAGGGTCGTGGGTTCAAACCCACGACTTAACTCCGGCGATTTTTCACATTTCTCCAAGTTTATTCGTATAATGCATATTTCGACCAACAAGAGATGATAAAACTTAATAACCGAACAGCGAAAAACTGCCGTTGATCGTCTTTTTGGAGGAATAAGTTACAAGGCGAAGGATTTTACGGTACACTGGTAAAAAAATTTAACAGAATTTTCCAGAAAATGACACTGAATTCAATTTAACGGAAAAAAGGCTATGAAACTTCAAAGAAATTCCTGATTTTTCAGTGGAAGAACCATGAAGATTTCGAAATTTCCATGAATTTTCAATGTAAACATGATAATTCAATAAGAAATTGCTCTGAAATTTCAAAAAATTAAAAATTCAAGGATATTTTTGCTTGAATTTTCCCAATTTCCATTAATTTTCGTGGAATAATTTAACTAAAATTTAAAATTTCCATGATTTTTCCACGAAAACGACGAATTTTCAATGGTAAAATTCCCTGAAATTTCAATGAAACCGTCACTTGTTTCATATTTCAAGACTAAAGCCTGTAAACTTCAGTAAAATTTTGTTAACAGTGTATTGATCAATCTGATTGTGAAAAGAATTTGTAATTCTCCGACATGAATAAAATGCTTCAATCAATCACCACTAGAGTGAAAGATTTTCGTCCTCTCCATCAACTCAAAAACCAAAATATTATTGGCATGTCCTCCAAAATCTGAAGACGGAAAATATTCAAGTAGAATACCTTCAACACAGAGTGCACTCCACTCACGATGAATTGGTTGGCGACCCACATTTCCGATAGATGAGCTGTCATTCACCAAATGCATACAGAATGAGGTGAAAAAGGAGAAAAGAGCATCGTAGAAAAAAAAAATGAGGGAAAAATCCACCCTTGAGGCAAAACACATCTCAAGCCCTTTTTGCTCTTCATCTATTCCAACAGAAAGGCGTTCTTTGAGAGGAAAAAAAGCGTACGGAAGTTGCCCAAGGAAAACCGAAAAACCGAGTGTTCTCGAGAGAGAATTATTTACAAAACCTGGGGAAAAAACCCGTGTATTATGTTAATTATAACTCGAGTGAGATTTCTGTGTGCGAGGAGGTGGAGTTGAAGTGCAGAAGACGAGACGATCACTGGAGCGTTGAAAATAATCGAGGGGAGCTCGGATAACGCAGCCATCGATCGTCTGAGAAACTTAATGAAGTTTGAAAAAGAAAAGAAATAGACCTTCAAACGAAGGAGATGACAGACTTGTTAGACCAAAGATTTTCCAATTCTCCACGCAGACACGAACTAGTTGAATACGTAATGCTGTTGCCCATCGAGCACGAACCAGCCTGACTCGAGTACATTTTTGAGAAACGCGAGAAATGCATGATGCAGTAATGTCCTGGGGCTCTCTCTCTCTCTGTGCCTTGCGAGCATTCTCGCAGACGGTCTACCCCCTCGCTCCATCGCTGTTGGGGTTCGGCGGCTCGAAGCATCACCCCCCAACGCGGCCAAACGTGCGAGGGAAAGCGTCGACAGGGAAAAAAAAGAAGGGAAAAGGGAATAAAGGGGCCAGACACGGGAGAGACGAGTTGGCCTTCCGTTGTCACGACAACTTTTCTACGTCCCTTCCACTTTGCTCTCCTGCAGTCTGTATTTCGCTCTTTCCGCATCGCATTTATGGTTTTATGCATATGCGGAAGAACAACATTGGAAACGAATGAAAATCTTTTTCCAGAATTTTTTTACCAGGCGCTTTATGAATGTCAGCTCTGAGCACTGGATTATTTGTATGTTCAACCGGAGACCCTCGACCTCGGTAAATAAATCGTAGCGCCACCGAGGCTGGCTCAAGTACCTTCAGCACTTTTTTCATCTCAAAGGACCATCAATCAAGCTGACGTTTTCCTTCTCAAAAACATTGGAGATAAAATATCTTTGCAATCTTCTGGAATTATCGTTACCTCAGGGGAAGGTTGTCGGTGACGGCTGACGCACCTCAGACACGAACGCCCTCTTGGGGGGTGGGATGGGGGGAACGTGTCAATAACGATGATGTGACGGGGAGTTCAACTGTGTGTTTTCTGGGTTTTCAAAAAAAGAGTATTGTAATTATGGGTAAGAGCCAGGGTAATTCAATCAATAAACACAGGTTTTTAAGGAGGAGAAGTTTTTATTATGAGGACCTTACTCCTCAGTCTTTCAGACGTAACTAACTGACTCTACAGACTTTTCACGAAAACAAGCCTCAGACCTCTTTGTCACTAAGGGAACAACCCATGTCTCTGTGGACGGTAAATTTCTCTAAAACCCTCAAGTGGGGGTGTGAGGGACACAGGCCCATAGGCCTGAAACCCCACACATACAAACATAGAATATTCTACATACAATCGACAGATTTTGTTCTATATATTCAATAAAGAGAAATCGTTGATCTTTCGTCAGCCAGGAAATGCTGACTTCCGAAGGAAGTCGTTTGACTAGAAGAATTGTCAATGACAATTTTAATGTTGTTCATATGTTCCAAGGAACATTCCTCTCATTGAATATTTCATTTCATGTCCAATCAAGCAATTTCCAACTCAATATGCTCTCATCTGATTACCCAATCATCTCATAACACTCGTACTTCCAAATCCCAAACTGACTCTGGGGGATATAACAACAGCCCGAGGCATCCCCTTAAACTCAGAAGTTGCCGGAAAACTCGCCGGTTTCTGGAGAAAAAATAATACTTGGCAGCATCAGTGGTGTTGCACGTCACATCCATCGCTTTCACCCTCGGGGGGCAGGATTATATGCTAGTATATTCCATCTAGTTCAAATTAACCCCGAGTTGATAGCCCCACCCCGGGCTTTCATGGCTGTACACATGCACAATTGAACGGGGGAAAATCGATTCCAGGGATTAGGGATAATCGCGTGTGCGTCATGTCATTCTCCTCTCTGAGGAATCTGTCAAAAAGAGGGGCCGGCGCGGGGTACGGGCGGAATGCAGAGTTCCTCGGCGATCGCGGATATTTGCTGCCTTGTGGTCTGGTACCCATCAATCCGTGAAGCAGATTGGGAGGATTGTTTGAATACAGGCAGGCATGGAGGGGAGGCTGGTATAAAGGCCTGGGTCAATACGGAATAGTAGGCAGATGGGTGAAGGGATATGCCCTGTGGATTGATATTGCCTTTTGGCTTATCAATTACCCACAATGTCTACAATAATAAAAAGCCGATTTGCGGGAGCGAATGCTCAGCAGTATCATTTTACGACCGACAGGTTTTCTTTTTAAAGACCTTTTGAGTCTCCTTTTCGGAACTCCCAACCCTATGCATGCGGCTGTGGATTCTACACTACCGCCTTCGCACTCCTATAGAACGTAGGAACCAGATAAATTGTGGTTGCCGCTTTTTTTTTCTTGTGATTCACAATCATCGTATGTTGTAGTGATACATGAACGAATATCGACTTGGCTTTCTTATTCCTGATTTCTTAAATTTTTGTAAACGAACAATCATACGGACTTGGCACAGTCTTTTTCCACCAAAACTCTTTTTGGTGTTTTTTGTGAGATAGGAATAGCATGGGAAACCACAGGAAACCCATGCCGGTATAGGCGGTTACTCTATTAGCGACCTCCCGCTCGCCGGAGCCTTTCGTTGAAAAATTCGGTTCCACGGGGAGTCGAACTCACAACCTTTCGCACACTAGATTTCCATTTAGCACACTCGGCCACCGACGTCGGTGACTGAAAGGTTAATCATCAAATGTTGAAACAAACAGCAGTATAAATAATTTTAAAAAATTTGATGCGTTCTAAGTTACATGAGGACACTTCGATCACGCCATTATTCGCATCGATCGCATCATTAGTTTTGGAGTAATCGTGAACGAAAAATTTGATCACCTACGCCTCGACATGTTTTCAAAAATAGGTTTTTTATTTTAGGGGTGATTACAATAACTTCCTCCATCGGGAAGTTAAAAATGGCTAGGCGTGCGCAAATGTTCACTTTACGCACAAGTGACGAAATAAATATATTGCCTGTTCCGGAGTCATCAATGGAACCAGATGTCCTCCCATTTGGCTAATATTCCCAAAATAAACTCATAGAAATATATAAAATCTATTCCGCCACGTGTCAACAAACAACTTCCACCAGCGAAACCACCACTCAGGGTAATTACGTCAGCATCAGAGTCAGGGAGCATCAACTCCCCTGTCTAATGTGAGAAGCAACAATATTCTCTTTGTCTGACATTCGTCTCTCTTACCGTCATTTAGCAATTCGCTAGAACTGGGGTATATTTCACGTCACATACTTTATTGAAGGGGTCTTCGACCTCACACACTCGCAGAATCCACCCCAGTTTGCGATGGATTCTCCTTTCTACCGCTTTGGTAATTTCTGCAGTGGCAGAGGCCGTGTGTTTTTCAGACACCCTGAGGAATATTGCCCACCGGGAAAGGGATTATTTATGAAATCCAGCTAAGGCTGCTGGTCCCTCCGCTCTTGGGTTAGATCTTACGTTTCTCGTGATTTAGAGCCCTTGGGGTATACTCGATGCTACCGCTCAGTTTCGTGGCAATTTCAAGGTCAATTCAGGGAGAAAGTAGATATGTGCGTTATGTTTGAGTAATGGGAGCGGTTTTATTCGTACCCTGCGGCTATTTTTATCCTGAAGCCATCGCCTGCCATCATCGAGAGGAAAAAAACCGAAGAGAATAAATAATTTGGGGGAATGTTTGAAGATATGAAGCGGTTGGTAGGTGTGGGCGCCGCCATTTTGGATATTCCTCCGTCGCAAGGGACTTCTAAGATGGCGGCGCGCCCACCTCGCAATTTCAAACGCTCCTTAAAATTATTTCTCATCATCGCATCACTCTCAACTCACTTTATCCGCTTTCTATAGAATGAACAATTTTTTTAAGCCATCTATCAAATTTTTCCATCCCCTTTTGGCTGAAAATTCATGGCGCAGTGTTCCCAGCATTTCTGGAATCTCGGGTTACACTCCAATTTTATTTCACTCCAGAAATATTCTATTCACACATAAGCTTCTCGAAATACCGATCAATCGTACTGCCGTATAATATTCACTCTGAAAATTCCGACATTTTTATCATCGTACTTGGAACTCCACTAGAAAACATCCGTCTGCAGAACGCAATTTATACCGCACGTTCCCCCAAGCCATTTCTGGCACCCCCGGCATTGTGTTATCATTCATTGGGAATGGGTTTCATTGCCCGTCCGAGGGGGAGAGCACGAGAGTCGCACCAGGAATGAGGAGGTCTGAGGCAAGCGGGTGGCAATAATAGAATGATAGAAGCCACTGTTTAGGGTCTCAATTTTTTTTTATATCTCGGAATCGAATGCCCGAGGTAAATTCCAACGATTTCACTTCCATGTTGACTTTCATGCTATTTCAAAACTCGTTCCAATTCAACTTCCAGTCTCAATCCTCGGTAAACAGAGAACCGACGGATAAAATTTTCAGGAGAACGAGAGAAAAAAGATTGCAATCATGGGGCTGTGTCTGCATTCATTCGAGTCTTCGGGGTGTTCAATCTTGCACCCATCGCCCAACTGTTTCTTCATCTCCCAACAGTTTTCACTGTTGCAAAGGTTCTGGTCGTCCCTCAGACCCCTACATTCATACTTTTTTTTTATCATCTCCCGCAGAAATGATAACAGAAAAAAAAATTTATACTCGCCGGATTTCATGGCGTCGTCCACTACTTTTCGACAGTCGTTTCAGCCCGAGAGAGAAGAAAATGAGACGGCATTGGGGAAACAACCAAAGGGAAACGGAAGTTATTTCCCGCCGTTGAGTGGCCCCAAGGGTTTGGAAACACAACGAGAAAATCGAAGTTGAAGTTGTACATGCGTTTACATGTACACAGCTAACGTGAGAAGGAGAAATAAAAGGAGAGTCCTTTTTCAGGGGGAAAAAAACGTTGCGAGGGGATAGATAAGACGATTGGGAGAGGCAATCCAACCCCCAGGGTCGTGACGTGCCTCGCGATAAAGTCAGCGTCTAGATTTTTTTTTCGACTCGAGATGTTCATGAAATTATTTATCAAAATCCAGGTCTTAAGTGTGACTTACGACCAGAGAATTCCTTCATTTGAATTAAATAAATGGATTTATTAAAATTAAATAAACGGATTTATTCAAATGCCCCTTATTTTTCCTCTTCACCTCGCGCTCGATAGAATTGTCATGAAATAATGCAGCGATATTGATGTTACAGACAAGATTAACAAGGAGATACAGAATCAAAACCGGTGTACCGACCCTAATCCTCTTGGAAGGTACAAGTGGCTCTGTGGTGACTCGTGGGGGTGTGGAGAGGGCACTGGCCGATCCCAGTGGCTCGAACTTTCCGTGGAGAGCTTCACATCCAAAGTCAGCCCTCGAGGATGGACCACTGATGCCCTGTGGTGCTCGAGACAGCAATGAACCGATGCTACATGAGGAGCTACGGCACTGCGTCAAGGGGGTTTATTTCAGCGCCCATTGGGTATTTGGTGGTTCAATTATTCGGATTAAACGTCCGTCAAGTATTTGAAGGAGCAATGGATTTTGTGATCATGAGCAAGCAAATCATTTCAATATGTGATTGAAAGAAAAGTCAATTAAATCGAGGATATGGTGTATGAAAAAATGCTCTGGGAATTGTTGATGGAATTTTTTATAGGGATTGCTATAGAATTTCACACATGATATTCTATAGGATCTCATGAAGGCTATAAGAATGTCCTGTGGAGTTCCTCATATGATTTTCTATAGAATTTCCTATAGAATTTCATCCATATTATTCTATAGAATATTCTATAGAGATTTCTATAGAATTGTACATAGGATTTTCCATATAATTTCATACCTGATCTTTTGCAGATTGTTCTGTAGATTTTTCTATAGAAAATCCTATAGCATTTTTAATACATGTAATGCCCACACCGGGATTTGAACCCACAACCTTCAGATTACCAACTCGCTACTCTATCCAATCGAGCTATTGTGAGTCAACCCGACAGCTACATAGATTTTTTTTAAATGAGGTAGAGGATGTAGAAATGAGAAGAGATTTCAGCAACAAGTTGAGACGAATCGAATCAAGTTATCCTAGTCTTTTTCATGATCATCTTAACGTAGAAGTTCGATATCGGGAGATTCGAAGATACGTGAAATATCACTTTCAGGTTCATGTAATTCGTCTCTCAATATTGAACCTTCTTTTCATTTTTCAAGTGCCCCCCCTGCAAAGCCTTCACTCCACAATTGGTGGATACTTACCAGCGGATTCGGGAGAGGGGACACAACTTTGAAGTGATTTTCGTCAGTTCCGACAGGTAATTGCGATCACTTATTTAAGAATTGAATTCTTTTGGGCTAGGAGGCCCTTAATTCGTATAAATTACGAATTTCACGACATTAATTTTCGCAATTTTTTATTATATACATTTTTTTTGTTAAAAAAATCGAAATAAAAAAACGAAAAATTTGAGCCAAGGGATTTCTGCAAAAAATATTTCTTTTTTTTTATTCTTATTTTACATCGCGTCGACTCGGTTGAGTATATTGCGATGATGATCAAGACTTTAAAAATGGCTTCAAATGCAAGTATTGAGTACATTTACTTGCGGCAAGTAAATTTACTCGGTAAAAGTAATTTTTTTTCTCAGTGTACCCGACCGGGATTTGAACTCGGAACCTAGCGCACGTGAAGCAGCAACCTTCCCGCTGNAAAAAAAAAAAAAAAAAAAAAAAAAAAAAAAAAAAAAAAAAAAAAAAAAAAAAAAAAAAAAAAAAAAAAAAAAAAAAAAAAAAAAAAAAAAAAAAAAAAAAAAAAAAAAAAAAAAAAAAAAAAAAAAAAAAAAAAAAAAAAAAAAAAAAAAAAAAAAAAAAAAAAAAAAAAAAAAAAAAAAAAAAAAAAAAAAAAAAAAAAAAAAAAAAAAAAAAAAAAAAAAAAAAAAAAAAAAAAAAAAAAAAAAAAAAAAAAAAAAAAAAAAAAAAAAAAAAAAAAAAAAAAAAAAAAAAAAAAAAAAAAAAAAAAAAAAAAAAAAAAAAAAAAAAAAAAAAAAAAAAAAAAAAAAAAAAAAAAAAAAAAAAAAAAAAAAAAAAAAAAAAAAAAAAAAAAAAAAAAAAAAAAAAAAAAAAACATTGGAATCAGTTGTATAGAACAATTAAATTCCATAGAATTTTCTAGCGAATTCGCCCAGTTTTCCGATGAAATTTTTTTCATCCGTGCACTCGCTAGACCCAGCAAGATACATTTTCACCAATGAATTTTCACCCTCCATCCGAGGACTCGCAACATTTTATACCCCCACACACACAATTTAGACATATAGATAATAGCGCAGTGTTATCCGCGGCAAGGGACATTCAGGCACGAGGGTGAAATTGTACAGGGTAGCCGTGAAAATACCGTGCTCGAATTGCTGATTATACCGAGGGGGCGAGCTTTTTTATGGCCGAAAGTGGTGGGGGAATGTGACACGGGAGAAAAACGCTCCGGAGGCTGAAAGTTTCAGATGTACAGCACTCGATACTTCAGGGAGAGCTGGAGATTACTGTTCAACTAAAAAAACTTACGAAGGAAAATTTAATTCTCTGGGGAACTGGCGCCAACGAAAAGTAGAAGATTCTCCTTGAATAAATTGGAATTTCCCATGACTCGGACTAAAATTAGAGAAAAGAAAACTCAGAGATAATCCCTTTATTTAGAAAAAGATGTAATATCAGAAAAATAATTTCTGGAGTCAAGAAAAATTGAGATTTCGGTTTCACGGAGCTTTTGCCCCAAACAATTTGCCCGCAAGAAATTAATTTCGTTATATTGAATGGTTTTCTCTCGATGTATACAAATTAAATAAACCACTTGTCTCGTCACCCTCAGGTTCATACATTATGCTGGGTCACGGGACTCCCTAGATAAGCTGAGGTTTCAGGCATGAGAGAAAAGGATATAAAATAAGTTATATCTACAGTGTTCCATTCACGAGCCCTAGTTGAGTTTAATACTGCATCGATTTTCCATAAAGCTTTGCGAAGAGCCATTCCCCGTTCTAAACTCGACTCTCGACGCTGGAAGCTTTTTGGGGAGTTGTATTAATGCTTTTCTGTAGTTCTGTAATATTTTGTAATCTCGCTGGAAAACTAGGGAGGATTTAAACGATTCTGAATGAATATGAATTACAAAATTAAAGACAATGTTGCGGAAATCCAAAAGAGAGACCTTTCTTCCACAAAAAATTTTGAAAAAAAAGACTGATATCTAGAAAAAATCTAAAAAAATTAGAAAAAATAAATAAAAAGTTTATGGATCTCTATCTTATGAAAATCCAAATCGACTTCTTGTGATAAATATTTGGTACTCGAAATTTAGACTTCGAAATTGAAGGTCACAAGGGTCATGAGGGTCAGAATAAGGGCTACAAGGGGCAGAATAAGGTCCACGAGGGTCAGAATAAGGTTCACGAGGATTATGAGGGTCAGATTAAGGATCCAAATGAGGGTCACAAGAGTCAGATTAAGGATCACAAAGGTCACATTAAGGGTCCGGATAAGGGAAATGGGGGTCATAAATTAAGGGCCATAAGGGTCTCGACGTCTCTCTATATTGTAAAAATCCAAATCGATTTTTGGTGATCAAAATTTGGTGCTCACAATTAAGACTCCGAAATTAAAGGTTAAAAGGGTCACGAGGGTCAGAATAAGGGCCGCAAGTGACGGAATACGGTCCACGAGGGTCAGAATAAGGATCACCAGGGTCAAAATAAGGTTCCCGACGATTATGAGGGTCAGATTAAGGATCCAAATGAAGGTCACAAGACTTAGATTAAGGATCACAAAGGTCACATTAAGGGTCCAGATAAGGGAAATGGGGTCATAAATTAAGGGCCATAAGGGTCTCGACGTCTCTCTATATTGTAAAAATCCAAATCGATTTTTGGTGATCAAAATTTGGTGCTCAAAATTAAGACTTCGAAATTAGAGGTTAAAAGGGTCATGAGGGTCAGAATAAGGGCTGCAAGGGACGGAATAAGGTCCACGAGGGTCAGAATAAGGATCACCAGGGTCAAAATAAGGTTCCCGACGATTATGAGGGTCAGATTAAGGATCCAAATGAAGGTCACAAGACTTAGATTAAGGATCACAAAAGTCACACTAAGGGTCCAGATAAGGGAAATGGGGTCATAAATTAAGGGCCATAAGGGTCTCGACATCTCTCTATATTGTAAAAATCCAAATCGACTTCTGGTGATTAAAATTTGGTGCTCGAAATTAAGACTCCGAAATTAAGGGTAAAAAGGGTCATGAAGGTCAGAATAAGGGCTACAAGGGTCAACAGGGTCAAAATAAGGTTCACGAGGATTATCAGGATCAGATTAAGGATCCAAATGAGGATCACAAGAGTCAGATTAAGGATCACAAGGTCACATTAAGGATCAAAATTTGGTGCTCGAGATTAAGACTCCAAATAAGGCTCACAAGGGTCACGAGGATTAACAAGGTCAGAATAAGGATCATGGAGGTCATATAGGGGTTGGCGAGCGGAGCAAGCAGGGCGCGTAGCCCCCTAGTCTAATATGAAAATTATCGTCAGTATCAAAATTGTAATGAATAATTTATGCTAAAATTTATGTGTGTTTAATTAATTAATTAATTTATGCTACAATTTGGGTGGATATCCTTAGTGTTGCCGAGCGGATGAAATATATTAGATTTTTGATTTTAGGAGTGAAGAGTCGTATAATGTCCACACGGAGTCGATGCCGTGGCTGCGGATCCCCTTCAATCAAGAGGAGAGACGGAAGAAACTGGCGATTGCACTTGACGTTCAGGCGATACCCACCCTCGTGATTCTCGATCCCAGGGACAATATCATCACTCTGGAGGGGAGGGCTGAGCTGCTGGAGGATCCAGAGGGGCTAGTAAATGACTTGTCATTACTGAAAGTGCTTTTCGGGGTGGGAGAACTGCAGGAGCTGATTCTTTTTCACTTTTTCTTTTAGAATTTTCCCTGGACGATCAGACTTGTCAACATCCTCACTGAGAAGTATGCGACCTCTCTCCATGATGCCCCAGCCATCATTCTTTTTGTCGGTGAGTGACGGAGTGGTTGTCATGTTTATTATGTTTTTTTTTAAAAGAGAATTCAATTTTGGTAATTGACGCAGAGGGTGACGACTGTGAGGTGCAGTTTGGGGAGAGTGTTCTCCTGCCAGCAGCTGAGGCCTACAGGAGGGACAGGCCTGATTACGATCCGAATTATGATGATCCTGACGGGACACTTCAATTTTTTATCGCTCTTGATGTGAGTTGGGACTGAAAAAAAATTTTTGAAGAGAAATTCATTCATTTCAATTCATTTATTTCACTTCTAGTATTCAAAACCATCTTTATAATGACTTGGTAGTGATTGGTATACCATTAGAATTCGAATATCTTCGAAGGTACTATGTACTCCTTTGATGCAAAAACGTATAAGTTGTGGGTTCTTGAGTGGAGTGTTGCTGTGGTCCTTTCTTATTATATCCATCAGGTTTTTTAAAATTAAATTCAATGGATATAAGGTATTCCTTCTTCAACTCCGTCGTACCTTCTTACGACAATAAATGAAATTAATTTCATATGGCAATACCTTCATTTTTTGAAGAATTAAAATTCTTTTCTTTCAATGAGGTAACCAAGTTCTTAAAGGAACCAACAGATTCCTGGTGAAGAGTTCAATCCTCACCAACTCTTGGCGTAACCCAGGACTCACGACGAGGACGTAGTTGGTGGAGAGTCTCAAAAAGAAAATATCTAAAAAATTTATTAATTACGTATATTCGAATTTAATCGATGGCCTATGGTATTGGTGTACCATTGTTTACCAAACGATTTACAATCACCCTCTGCTTTCAGAATTTATTAATGTTAACATGTCCTTGCTAACTACCATTTACACATTTTTTCCAACAGTTCGATTAAAAGTCTGCAAATCTTCAAAGCAAAAAAAATTAAAATGAGTTTCTCACGATGAAAATTTGAATTTCAGGGAGAAACGTCCGATATTCTCCGGGAATTCGTCGGCCTGGATGATGCTGTGCCACTTCTGACTGCCATAGACATTCCCCGAGGAGTTTACGCAGTGATGGAGGACGGTGCTGAAATAACTGTCGATTCTGTGCAATATTTCGTCGATGGATTTAGATCTGAAAAATTGCCAACCAACAAGATAGCTGCCAGCCAAAAATCCAAAAACGATAAAGTCAACGTCTGAGGCTTGGTGTCACTGGAATTCTTGTGTACAAAGTTCATCGCCCAATGCATTGCATTCCCATCGTATCATTAGTTGGATAAATTGTATATTGTATAAGGAGCATTTAATAAAACCAAACAGAACTGTATAATTTTTTTCTTTCTTCTCTCGTTTTGTTTTGTATTCATTGTTCTATCGAGCGATGAATGAGGACAAAAAATTATTTTTTAAATATTTTTCTCACATTTTACAATTATTTTCTTTTATGCATCTCGATATTGAATCATTAGGAGACATTTAATAAATCTGAAAAAATTGGAAGTTTAATTTTGGAGGAAGATTGATGAAAGAATTTTAAAATTGGAATTTTCCAAATTTATTCATATTCAGAATTTTACCAGAAATTTCATGCCTAAATAAAAAATTTAGGTTTTCGGAAGTTTAAACAATTTCAATTATTTATTTAAAAACCGTGAATGTTTAAAAAAATAATAAATCTGTGCAAAACTTTAATTAATGTTGATTAATAATTTTGCACACAATTTTTATAATAATAATAATAATTTAATATTAACATAAATTATTAATATTAATATATATTAATATTATTATTATATTATTATTAATATTAATTTATTATTATTATTATTTTTAAAATAATTTAATTACATTTAAATTATTTAATTATTATTATAATAATTGAAATGTTTTATTACAATTTATTTTAATTATTAAATTTAATGAGGCTGAATATTGACCATTTTTTTTTTAATTTTTCTCACGCAATCAAATCGACAAATTTGATGATTGAAAATGCTTATTAATCTATCTCACTCTTTCCTGTTCATTATAATTTATTTATTCTCCTACTTCAATATTAACAAAAGGAATTGACAGTAACATGTCTTAAACTAGTATCACTCTTACACAGTAAATCGATCTATTTACATCAATTCGATTTATAAGGCACCAAGTGATTGTACTCAGTACTGTATTTTAATGTCACGGGGTTAAAAATATCATGGTATAATCGATGAAGATGAGAGCTTTCCTTAATGTTTTCAAGTGAATATTTACATTTTTTCACCTTCAATTTATGAAGCTCGATAAACGAATGAAAAATAACAAACATTTTTTTCATTTAGCAACTCACTCTTCGTTATCCATCGAAATAAAAAAGTGTCCAGTATTTTTCATCCACTTTTCATGCGGAATGGGACAAAAATTAAATGCAAAACTCCAATCAGTCCCAGAAACGAGTCGAAAGATAATGAAATTAAAGCTATGCATGTTGCCGGTGATAAAAAGATTATGCGATAACTGTAATGGACAGTATGTACAAGAAAATTCAAATGAATTAAATTAAAAGAGATATTCTACGTCGTCCTGTCAAGATTTTTGTGATTACAATAGTAAAAAAATAAGATATTTGGGGGGGAGGGTGAATCATGTGAGGAGAGTGGCCAGAGCGTCGAAGAAGTTTGAGCGATCCTGTGTTTTCAGTCTTATAACTGCAACCAAAAATTAAAATTAACAAAACAATTCGTAATTACTCACGTCTGAATAAAAATAAAACATGACTTACTTGTGGTATCGAAATAGTCTGCGTCCATGGCTGCATTGATGTTCTTTGCTGCTTGCTCAAAAGCCTTTCCAAACAGACTAAAACAAAATAAATTCATTTTTCCATTCACTTGTGTTCTATTTTTTTTAGTTCAATCAATTAATGAAAATTAAGTCAAAATTAATAAATTCTCTTTCATTTTAATTCTTTTTTAATTCGACTTTTCGTTTTTTTGTTAATTGATGTTTCAATTTTACAATTATTGCATTTCTCTATTATTAATATAATATATTATATAATATTATAATATAATATATTATAATATAATAATATAATTATAATTATAAATAATAATAATAATAATATATTATATTATAATATTATAATATATTATAATATATTATAATATATTATATTATAATATTATTGATTATTGAATTATATAATATTATAATATATTATATAATATAATATAATATATTAATATAATAATAATATCAGTAATTATTATTTTAATTATTATTATTATTATTATTATTATTATTATTATTATTATTATTATTATTATTATTATTATTATTATTATATATTATTATAATATAATGTATTATATTAATATTAGTATTTTTATTAATTTTTAATTAATAAAAATGAGTTAAAAATCCCGAAAAGTTATCTTTCCCTCCAATTCTCTCCCATCTCGACGTTTTATTTCTGTGAATTGACATTGAATTCACTCAATGAATAAAAAAAAGTTGACCCTTCAAGTTGATTTCTACCTTCTCGGTTGATCTTCACAAATCGGCGGGATTCCGACCATGAGACAGGTCTCCTCCTCGAAATCATAATTCGCCGAAGCAACGAGAGGCGCAGCAGCGGCGCCTTTCCTCTTGGAGCTCCCCACATAAGCCCTGAGGACAAACTGTGCAAGCATGAGGAGCGTGTGGGGATGCGCAAAGAGCCTGGAGTCCAGTGTGCCCTCAGGGATGATGACATAGAGGAAAGATCCAGCATTCATGACCTTCTTCATCTCGAGGATTCCCTGAGCAGTCTTGAAAATACTAGCCAGCATGACCTTGGCCTTCTCGATGCCCCTCTCCAGAGTCTCCTTCTTCATCCTGGATAGGCAGTCCATGGCGTCCAGGAAGCAGTGGTGGGGGGGCCTGTCCTTGCTGGAGGACTCCAGAAGCGCCAGCATAGCGTAGACAACATCACTGGCGCAGTACTTGAACTTGTAGCCAAACTGGAGTGTGAAGGAGGCACCAATGACGTCCTCCACGTGGTACTTGGCCGCCAGGCTCTCCACCATCTGCCTGAACTCCTGGCGAAGGCTCAGGTCCATCGACGAGAACTTCTGCTTTGACTGGGCCAGGGGCAGCCCCATCTCCGCCAGAAGCTCCCGCAGCCTCTGCTCACCCCTGATTGACCACAGTCGCAGGGCCACTGCTGTCGTCATCGAGTGCCTCAGGCTCGACTCGACTGTCCAGTGACGGTACAGCGCCAGCTGGAGGTCCTTGTCGTAGATTATCTTCACTGCACTCTGCTGCTGCTTCTCGGCGTCCACCCCCTGACGGTGACTCAGTCTTGACACCTGGCCCTGCAGGTTCCCCGCTTCCAGGACGGAGATCTGGGGGGTTCGAGGAGTTACAAGATATTTGGGACTTCAGGGGGGTATGAAAATGCCACGAGGGAAAAGGAAGGCGAAACGTCGTCGTCGGAAATCAGTAGCCAAGTGAAGTAAACGGTAGAAGGGTATTTTGACGATTGACCAGTTTTCAATGAATATCTCGGAATCTGAGGGAGATAGCCAAATTTTTATTATAACCTTTTTTGTAGAGACGGTTGAGAGCTACAATAAATGTTATTATGAAATTTTCGCTAGCTCCCTTAGATTGGGAAATATTACTCAAAAACTCAACTGGGAATTATTTATGTTATTGTACTAGGGGGCTCCGCCCCCTGCTCGCTCCGCTCGCCAACCCAGAGGGAGGGGGGAGGCGCCACCACCTCGCTCGCTTCGCTCTCTGCTGGGGGAGGGGGGGGTTGTTGTTTGTTTGGTGTTTTTTCATATATAGGTATTCGGAATTGCATAATTTAAAAAAAAAAAAAATCAGTGAAAATAGAAAAATTTGATTTCTCCTCTAAAATCATTAGAAAAAAATTGGAAAGGTCACTATTAGGATCACAGACAAGGGTCAGAATCTGGGTCACAGTGAGGGTCAAAAACTGGGTTATAGTAAGGGTCACAAACTGGGGCGTCTCCTGAATTTTTTTTTATTCAGTGAATGAAGTTGAGGGAGTCAAATTTTGATTGTTGATTTTGGAATTGAGAAATAATTAAGAGTTAAAATAAAACCAAAAACACAATTGAGAAATAAAATAAAGCAAGACACAGATAAAAAAAATAAAATAAATAAATAAAGTGAAACAAAAAAAAACAAAAAGGAATAAAAAATTCTTTCCCCACCTGCGACTCGACTTTATTCAGGATGGCTCGTTCTGTGGATCCGACGATGGCCCACCAGACCATGTCGAGGGAGTCCTTGGACATCCTCCAGGCCATCTCGAACATGAGAACGGCCGAGGACTTGCCATAATGGCTGTACTGCGAGTAATTGAAGAGAATAGTGTCCCTCTTCTCCTCCCACTCCCTCCGCTGCCTCTTCCTGAGGATGTCCTCCTCGTTGAGGCGTCGCCTCTTGGCCTGCCGTGACTCCTCCCCGTCGGAGTCCTCCCCGGGCTCCTCTTCGTCTGAGGAGTCGTCCCTGAAGACCTCCTCGTACTCCGGGATCTCGTCCTCGTCGACTGGCACGTGGAGAATTCTGATCTGGCTCTCGGAGTAGATGTTGCAGAGGTCGAAGGGCCTGTGACTGTCGACCACGAAGAAGGTGATGTGCTCCGGGGGCTCGAGGTGGCCCACAATGTCCATTATTCCCCCGCAATTTATCATCACCACGTACTTCACGTCGTCGCAGTTCTCTCGGTACGACCTGAAAACGTCGGTGATGCCCTGCACTGGGACAACAGTGTACAACATGTTGTCGTTCTTGAAGAGGTGCTGGAGGATCTTGCACGCGCAGATCGCGTCGATGTCGAAGTTGACGAGGAGGAGGCATCTCTGGAGAGATGTCAATGATTTTTTTAAGAAGAAAGAAGAGTTCAAACGAAAACTCCCTCGTAATATCAATTCTCGAGGAGATGCATGAAACGGGCAGTTTTTGATCCCCGATAACTGGGGATTGGCAGAGTGAAATTGAACGATTTTTACTCCATTTTGAAGGGATTTTCCCGTAGTTTAAAATGAGCTCTGACTTGTCTAAATCGCATCGTTGGGTCAGGAGATATTAACGATTCAGTAAAGCTCCTCGAAATTGAATTCGTTTGATGGCATTGTCCTCTTATTCTACATAACTCGAGATTGGCTGAGTGAAATTCGACCACTTTTCCTTCATTTCAAAGGTATTTTCACGGGCTTCAAAATGAGACGTGACTCGCCTGAATCGCACCATTACATCACGAGTTATCAACGATTAAATGAACTTCATTTCATCAAGCCTTCATATCCTGTTTTTCGTGGGCAAAAGTTCTACTCTAAATTCAACCGAGCCTCATTCCAAATATAAAACGACTCAAAATACAAATACACGATGATAAAATGCCCAGCCAAGCCCTCGTAACATTCCAAGTAAATTCCGAAGTAAACAATTAATTTAGTCCACTCCCCCTGACTTGAAAATAAAAGCCTCCCTTAACCTTAACAATTGATTTCCCCAATTCCCGAGGCCCATTCGACCGTTAAAATGCTGTTTCTACTCACGTTTCCCTGTATCACATCGTAAAAATCATCCTTGAGATTTCCCACGAACATGGTGTCATTTATTTATGCCATTTACGCAACTTTTTTTCACTAAAAACTTGGGGGAATTCAGGGTACAACGCCAAGCAAGCGCAAGCCCTTGCCTCTTGCCCGCCAAACTGCCCCTGTGAGTCGACAGCAGCGCTCGAGACGTCGTAAATACATGAATATAGGTATGTACACACGCTTAACCTTGAGTACATGAGCCCCAGAACACGTGGACTGTCCGTACCCCTTCGAAACTCGACTATTTTCATTTTTCCAATCAATTGTTGCAATTCCAAATCAAAATATGTCACGAAGACCTGAACATCTGGCGCCTCCAGAAGTGGTAATTACGAATATTCCCCCCTCAGGGGGTGAACAGACTATTCTTTGACATTGACAATTGATTTTTATGGCCTGCTGATGCTTGTTGCAGTTTTACAATGAAGATGAGGCACGAAAATACACGCAGAGGTGAGTAATTTGGGGATGAAAATTGGTATTGATCTCTGGGAGTGATGGATTGTCTTTGTGATTAGCTCCAGGATGATGGAGATTCAGGTGCAGATGTGCGAACGAGCTATTGAGTTACTTCTGCTGCCTGAGGACGAGCCCTGCTTCCTTCTGGACGTGGGCTGTGGCTCTGGACTCAGTGGGAGTGTCCTGGAGGAGCAGGGACACGTTTGGATTGGAGTGGATATTTCCTCGGCGATGTTGAGTAAGAATTGTTATCTCTGAGTTAAGAGGAGTTGGAGTTTGTTTTGAGGGTCAAATGACCCTTGAGAACGTCCTGAGTCAATTGTTAAATGATTTTGAGGGTCAAATGACCCTTGAGAACGTCCTGAGTCAATTGTTAAATTATTTTGAGGGTCAAGTGACCCTTGAAAATATCCAGAATCAAGAGTTAAATGGTTTTGAGGGTCAAATGACGCTTGCAAATGTCCAGAATTAAGGGTTAATTGATTTTGAAGGTCAAATGACTCTCGATAAGACGTCCAGAGTTAAGAGTTAAATGATTTTGAGGGCCAAATGACCCTTACAAACGTCCAGAGTCAGTTGTTAAATTATTTTGAGGGTCAAGTGACCCTTGAAAACGTCCAGAGTCAAGGGTTAAATGATTTTGAAGGTCAAATGACTCTTGAAAACGTCCAGAGTCAATTGTTAAATGATTTTGAGGGTCAAATGACCCTTGAAAACGTCCAGAATCAAGGGTTAAATGATTTTGAGGGTCAAGTGACCCTTGAAAACGTCCAGAGTCAAGAGTTAAATGATTTTGAGGGTCAAATGACCCTTGAAAACGTCCAGAATCAAGGGTTAAATGATTTTGAGGGTCAAGTGACCCTTGAAAACGTCCAAAATCAAGGGTTAAATGGTTCTGAGGGTCGAATGACCCTTGAAAACGTCCAGAGTTAAGGGTTAAATGGTCCTGAGGGTCAAATGACCCTTGAAAACGTCCTGAGTCAAGGGTTCAATGGTCCTGAGGGTCAAATGACCCTTGAAATCGTCCAGAGTCAAGGGATAAATGGTCCTGAGGGTCAAATGACCCTTGAAAACGTCCTGAGTCAAGGGTTAAATGGTTCTGAGAGTCAAATGACCCTTGAAACGTCCAGAATCAAGGGTTAAATGATTTTGAGGGTCAAATGACTTTTGAAAACGTCCCGAGTGAAAAATAAAATGATTTCCCCAAAATCCCCAAAACCCGTTATGCTAATTATCAATCCAACAACTTCCTCCCGAAATCTTAATCCTTTTTCCCATTGAAACCCTCAGATGTGGCTTTGGAGAGAGAAGTCGAGGGTGACCTCCTCCTCGGAGACATGGGCCATGGCATGCCCTTCAGAGCCGGGAGTTTCGATGGAGCGGTCAGCATATCCGCCCTCCAGTGGCTCTGCAACGCAGACAAGACCTCCCACAATCCTGTGAAGCGTCTCCAAAAGTTCTTCGTCTCCCTCTTCGCGTGCCTGTCTCGAACAGCTCGAGCTGTCTTCCAGTTTTACCCGGAGAATGGCGAACAGATCGAACTCGTGACTACTCAAGCCACCAAGGCTGGGTTTTATGGAGGGGTTGTGGTGGATTATCCCAACAGTACGAAAGCCAAGAAGTTCTTTCTGGTTCTCATGACTGGGGGCGCCATGCCCCTGCCCAAGGCCCTGGGGGATGAGCACCAGAACTCGACCATCAGCTACACCTCCAGGAGGGAGCACATGAAGAAAGCCAGGGGGAAGAGTCTCAAGAAGTCTAGGGAGTGGATCCTCGAGAAGAAGGAGAGGAGGAGAAGGCAGGGGAAAGACACGAGGGAAAATACGAAGTACACTGGGAGGAAACGAAGTGGAAGGTTCTAGGGAAAATGAAAATAAATTCTGCTTTCTGTATATAAATTGGAAAAAACATTGATGAATCGGGTTAAGGTGTTTCGTGGGGAGTCTTATTGCTCTCGAGCCCTGAGTCAATCGCTGAGCACGACATTTTCCTATTTTCAAGTGACTGTTTAAGTGTGCGTTTGAACATTTTTTGAATGGTGATTTTATTTATCGGATTGATTCAAGGGTTTAATGATTTTGAGGGTCAATTGACCCGTCGAAACGTCCAGAGTCAAGGGTTAAATTATTTTGAGGGTCAAATGACCCTTCGAAACGTCCAGAGTCAAGGGTTAAATTATTTTGAGGGTCAAGTGATCCTTTCAAACGTCCAGAGTCAAGGGTTAAATTATTTTGAGGGTCAAGTGACCCTTGAAAACGTCCAGAGTCAAGGGTTAAATTATTTTGAGGGTCAAGTGACTCTTGAAAACGTCCAGAGTCAATGATGAAATGGTTCTGAGGGTCAAGTGACTCTTGAAAACGTCCAGAATCAAGGGTTAAATTATTTTGAGGGTCAAGTGACCCTTGAAAACGACCAGAATCAAGGGTTAAATGATTTTAAGGGTCAAATAACTTTTGAAAACGTCCCGAGTCAATTGTTAAATGGAAATACTTGGAAATTTCTCCCATGATTTTTCCAAATTTATTTTCATTATTTTGACTTTTCAATCGAAACACTTTAATAAATTTTTTCTATGTACAGTATTTATTTTGGTACATGCTGGGGGGTTTATTCTGGCACGAGGAACATTGATACACTCCGGTGGATGGGCTTTGGTAACGTGACTTCCAATTCCTGCCTGTCCACCCACTGATACTTGACTTTATCCTGAACATTTCCGTTTACGTGTTTTGCTAGGTAATAAAAAATTTTTGCACCACGCGAACCCTTTTCTCTCACTGCTCTTGGGTAGACGTACTTGTAGAATCCTATGGGGGCATTCCCGTAGATTTTTGCGGACAAATTTTCACCGCAGGTGCTACGTAAGATTCTTTCTGCACTCTGGGAAGAAATGGAAAATTAAAAATTATTGAGTGATTTTATTTCGAAGGATTTAAGCGTTCTAATAATTTTTCTCATTGCAATCCTCTTCAATGTTTGTAGAATTATTTTTGCAATGATTTAGTTATTTGGAATTAGAAGACTTAAATTTAATTTGGCGGTTTCAGGCGTCAGGAAACTTTTTAATGATGAAATAATTAAAAAATTTCAGTTTACGAATATTACGACATTTTTCGTAAACAATTCGTTAACAAAAGAACTTTAGTAATATTTTCATTCATTCATTCTTTGAGAACTAATAAATTCTTTATTCGATCAAGCTCAAAATTATTAATATTAACAAAATATATTTATTTGAAGTGAAAAAACGACGAAAATTAGGTTTAAGTAAAAAAACATTTTGTCATGTACAATGAACCATTTTACGCGAAAAAAGGATTTCCAAAAGTCAAAATAATTTCCATTATCTATTTATAAAAACGGAATTATTTTCAAAATTTAATGATTAAAAAAAAAATCTTGAATTCTGTAAAATAAAAAAAAATCGGATTCTTTCAAATGGAAAAAAAAATCTTCAATTCCTTGAAACAGAAAAAAAATTCACCTGTCGAAGGGTTTCCCCTTCCTCCCTCGGCCCCTGAGGAGGCAGCCAGAACAAGTCCTCCCCCACCTTCTGCTGCACCAACAGCACCAGGCACTTCTCCAGCTTCCTCTCGAGGGAGGTTTTGACATTCCCCTTATCAGCTTCAGTGACCCTCGAGGCAAATGGAAATTTTGCGAGTTCAGCATCCCCAGCGTCCTCGATATCCTGCGCCGATATAGTGGCCACCTTGTCTGGATCCATATCTACCAGCCCCTTCTTCACGAGTTCACTCTGCTTCGCCTCGAGCTCCTCCCTCAGCTCGTGATCGCACTTCATGCTGTTCTCGAACTCCATCTCGTTCAAGAGCCCTTGGACCCTCTGCTCCAGCTCCAGCTTTGGCTTTGTTATCACTGGGTGTCTCTCCACACAGACTGCAGCCATCAAATCCCATTTTTGGCCTGGGGATGTGCACCTCGAGCGGCTCTGGGACCTCAATAAATCTGAAATTGAATTTTTTTCATGAAAACGACTTCAAAAAATCGATCTACGAAAAATCCGGAGTTCTTACTTGAGATGATGTTTGGAGAACAGCCTGTTGTGCGCAGTTTCAGAGATTGTTTAAATAACATTTTGCTTATGCTCTGGGCTGGTGATAACCTACAAATGCCGGGGTCTATCAACGACTTGAATAATTCAGTTTTTGAATCGATTGTTCTCGATGTTTTTTGTAATTTCAGTATTTAATGGATTTCATTGGAGAATGATGAGGAAGAGTTGACAATTGGAGGTAATGATGATAGGGGGTTTTTTATTATGAGGACCATAACAATTTAGCCAGTAACAACTTCGCGATGTTTGTCGATTAATCGAATACATCGACTTTTCAGGCACAAACATCGATGTTTTTTATTCGATGCCTTCAACGGCCGATTAATCGATTTTCGATTCTTTTTTTCAAACATCGATTTTTCTGACCAACCTAACGAAATTTTTCATTTTTTTGTCGAATAATAATGTTGACTGATTGAGAATAATAGAGGGTTTTTTATTATGGAGGACCATAACAATTTAGCCAATAACAACTTCGCGATGTTTGTCGATTAATCGAATACATCGATTTTTCAGGCACAAACATCGATGTTTTCAAAGGCCGATTAATCGAATACATCGATTTTTCAGGCACAACCATCGATGTTTTTTCTTCGATGTTTTCAAAGGCTGATTAATCGAATACATTGATTTTTCAGGCACAAACATCGATGTTTTCAAAGGCCGATTAATCAAATAGATCGATTTTTCAGGCACAACCATCGATGTTTTTTCTTCGATGTTTTCAAAGGCTGATTAATCGAATACATCGATTTTTCAGGCACAAACATCGATTTTTCTGACCAACTTAACGAAATTTTTCATTTTTTTATCGAATAATAATGTTGACTAATTGCGAATAAATAAAATAATAAGCTGATCAATTCAGTCACAGCATGCAAAAAGGAGCGTAATCCTTCTAATGAAAATAATTTATTTACTTATGGATCACTCTCAAATAACAAAAAGCACATCGCAATAAGAAACAGCGTTTCGTAGAAAAAAAAATGGTATTTTCTGCTCCCCCTCTTCGACCCACTGATCACTGCCCTCACTTACAGTTTCCATCACTAATTTTCTTCATTAACCAAACTTCTTAAATACGAAAATCTCGTAAAAAATATTGACTACTCATTTTGAATTCCGAAAACCAACGAAAAATCCGTTATTGTTCATCGAAATGAAGAGATGGTGCAATATTCTTCTCCAATTTTCATATTTAATGATTAAAAAATTGCCCTGCAAGTCCCCAATCGTTAGGGGACAGAATAAACTGATGAATATCGAGTTTAGTCCTCTCAAGGCACGAAGATGTAGTGGGAGACGTCACCAGTATCATCAACGACCTTCGACTGCAGCAGCTTGATCTCGAGCCTGAGTTTCTCCTTCTCCATCTCCTGCTTCTTCATCTCGTTCGTGTAGCAGTCGATCTGCAGCTTGAGCTTGTCCTTCTTCAGCTTCAGCATCTCCGTCTCCTGGAAGAGTTTGCCCTTCTCAGCCCGCAGGACTGACAGCTGCTCGAGCAACAGCTGGTGGCTCGCCTCGCCTGCGAACACCTCCACGTTCGACACGTCTGGGGTCATCTCTGTCATCATGCTCTTTGGATTTCTCGAGGTCTCGCCCTCGGGGCCACTGTCCATCTCGGGGTGCATGGTCGAGGCCGCCTTCATTATCCAGATTTTTGTGTCTTGGCACTCGTCTATGGGAGGGGATTTTGAACTCGAGGGGGAGAGGGGGTCTGACAGGAGGTGGGGGTTCGAAGGGGCCGAGGCTTTTGTGATTTTTTGGATTTCTGCGGGAGTCGAAATTGTCTCAATGTCCAGAACTGAAAGAAAATCGGAGAATTCGGTTGCATAAAATTGAGGTTTTCGTTTTTGATCTTGAGGATTCAGATTTCAATGGCATTATGCAGGCTTGAAAATATGTAATCGATAATTTATGATGTTTCATCATGATTACATTTAAAAAATTACGAAATCATTTTGGAAATTGAGCAAATAAAAAAAATTGTCTTTCTCATTAACTTTTTTTTTAATTAATGAGAAACAATTTTTTTTGTTATTAATTTCATAAATATTTTGAATATTTATAAAATTAACAAAAACGTAATGTTTCATAAATTAATGAGAAACAAATTTTTTTTGTTATTGCATGAAAAATTCATATTAAAAAATATCGATATCATAAATATTTTTAATATCTATAAAATTCGTATCATTTTAATGTCCGCAATTGCAAAAAATTCATGGAATAATTCATCATTTTGATCAAATGATAAAAAATAATAAGAATTGTGTTTCTTCTTATTTTTTTATTATCAATTTCATAAATATTTTGAATATTTATAAAATTAACATAAACGTAATGTTTCACAAATTAATGAAATAGCTCGTCTGATCATCAAATGACGAAGCACTGAATTTCTCATGAATTCTTTTGTGTTCCTGCCCACAAAAAATTATAGTTCGCACTTGTAATTTGGCTTTAAAATCCTGAATTTGACATTTTTCAATGCTTCATCGTTTTGTGATGGGAAAAAAATCCTCGAATGATTCGAAAAATATTTTTTCATCACGAAAAAGTCACCTTGGGATCCCTGAGATCCTGAGGAACGACTGTCATGCCCCAGGTGGTTGTCGCAGTAGCTGTTGAACTCCCTCTCGTCCACGAACACAGATCCATCAGCATTGACGATTGACTCCACGATGACGGAAGGGTCGCCATCGTCCATCACTAGCTCGCCGACAATCTGGCCGTTGGGGGTGATGATGTTCCCTTCGTTGTTCGCCCTCAGCAGTTCTCCCTCAGTCGTGTCGATGTCATCTGCCACTTCCTCCTGGGTCAATTGCGCACTGTAGGAGTCCTCTCCGTCGTTTCCCTCGCTTATCTCGAGATCAGCTGACAGGCCCTGGAGGAAAAAACAATGGGAAATTAACACTTTATCCTTGAAATTAACAATTCCATCGTAAAAATCAATTTTTCAAATTAATTTACTTAAAAATAGTTGATAAATCTAGAATTATTGAAGATCTATTTCCTTTTATCCGTTAAAATTAATATTTAAATTATTAATTGAGTAAATATTGAATGAATAAATATTACAATTTATATTCTTGAGGAAAAATCAGGCATTTCTTCTTAAAAATAATTTTTACAAATTAATTTAGGTAAAAAATATTTGAGAAAATTGTGAATTATTCAAGATATATTTCCTTTTATTCATTAAAATGAATATTTGAATTAGTAATTGAATAAATATTGAATGAATAAATATTACAATTACATTCTAGAGGAAAAATTGATCATTTCTTCTTAAAAATGATTTTTTTCTGTTAAATTTCGTGAAAAATTCTTTTAAAAAATTGAGAAATATTCAAATGATGTTTGATTCCGCTCATTTTTTTGTATGTTTTCACATAAATAAACTGAAAATTTATATTTTTGAGGGAAACTCACATCTTGCCCCCAGGGCGAATGAACATCCTTCTTCAGCTTCTTCAATCTCTGAGCAATTTCATCCTCAGCCTCTGGATACATCCTCTTGCCTCCCTGTGCCTTCTCCAGGTCGTGAATCCTCTTGAAGAGCTGGTAAGCTCGCTCTGGGGTGATGTCTCGTTTCTGCTTGTTGGCTGCAGCAATGTTGAACAAATCTTTGGACCTCAGGATTTTATTTGTTCGCAGTCTCACGTATTCCTTGAGCCTCTTGCGGTCGATGTGCAGCTGCATGAGGTCCTGGACTTCCTGTTTTATCTCTCCACAGAGCTTTCGCTCCTGTGGAAGCTGCTTAAACAGTTCCTGTTGAAAATTAAAAATTAAAAATTGCAAATTAAAAATTACATCACAAGAAGATGAAGGGGAACTGGGCTTGTTCAATCCTCAATATCTCCTGGACTAATGATGCGATTTGGGTGAGTCACATCTCATTTTCAAGCTTGAAAATATATCTTGAAAATGAAAGAAGAAAGAGTGAATTTCACTCAGCCAATCGGGAGTTATTAACAATTGAAAATCGTCCCCTCCACTTATCGTCGTCAAGACGTAATTAATTAATTATCAACAAACCTCAGATATCTCGTGATTATGCTCATTATTGACACTCGTCACTTCGAGTTTGTTCCCATCCTTCGATGCCCTCAGCATGATGTGTGCAGGACAATTCGTTCTGATTGATCTAGAGTGAAATAAAAATTAAGAAAACTGAAGTCAATCGAAACGATTGAAGGAGCATTAATTCTTAATTGAACTCTTGCATTTTCAAATGCAAAATTTTCAACGCGAAAATTTGTTAATGCAAAAACGTCAATTGTCAAATGAAAAAAAATCTGCTCAACAAAACCAATTGAAACAATTGAAGGAGCATTAATTTTTAATTGAACTCTTGCATTTTTTAAATGCAAAATTTTCAATGCGAAAATTTTTTAATGCAAAAGCGTCAATTGTTGAATGAAAAAAAATTCTGCTCACTGGGATTGCCTCCTGCCGGCACCTCTGGGGAGGAACTTCTGGCCCCCATAAATGCAAGCGTATTTCACGGAATAATACTTCAGTCTCTCGCTGATGGGTCTCGCTGTCTTCATGTGGGCCCCACTCACTGTTCGGCTGTCTCGCCTCCAGTAGTGGACCAAACTGCGTTTTGAAAATTTCTCTAGCTTCTCCTCGAGCTCCTCGTAGCTGTTGAACATCTCGCCGAGGTGAAATGCATAGTCATCTTGGGCTGCTGCATCCATTCTAGTCGTTTTTTCGAACTGGGAAATCATCGAAAATGAATGGGTCTTGCAGACATATTGTTAAGAATAGGGGAGGGTGGGGTAAAACGGACACTTTTGACTTTTTTAAAATTATTCATAACTCAGAAACAAAGGGAAATAATTGTTCTTTGTATTGAGAAAAAAATTGTTCAATTTTAGCAACATTTCAACCCCTCATTAACAGTAAAAAAAATGTGGTGTTCCAGAGTTTAAGATTTTCTTATAAATAAATAATAGAAATTTTTTAAGTGCGACTTCTTCTGGAATTCTGGGTGTGAATCCATGTTTTATGATTTTTGAAAATTATTTTAGAGTGAAGAAGTAATGGTTTGTAAATTATTTATGAAAGAGGGTCTGAATCTGCAAAAATTACGATTTTCCAATTACTCTAGGATTTTTTAAAAGTAGATGTTCTTTTTTTTCAATATTTAAAAAATTCAATATAATGTATTATTTTCAAAATGGAAAGTTGATTGTTTTAAAATTATTTATGAAGCAAAATCTGAATTTTAGAAAATGACAATTTGTAAATCACTTCATGAATTGTCTTCAAGAAATAGATATTCAATTTTTTAAAATGTTGTTAAAAATCTAATAATTTTAAAATGCACAATCAATTCCAGATGAAACATCATTCAAACTTATTATTAAAATTAAAATTAATTGTAAAAATTATTCGCATAATAAAATCATTGCAAAACTATTCTGAAGTTAAAACCCAAAAGTTGAAGAGGATGTAAACAGAATAAAAATTCCCAAAACACTCCCATACCCATCCTAAAAAGCCAATTAATCATTTTCCCTTCGTCTAGAAGCCCTAAATCGCATTTTCCACCCATTAAAAAAAGCCATCATCTCCAGCCACGAAGAACAGCCAAAAACAAAAAAAAAATGTGATCGAAAAAAGCAAATGGTAGGAATTTCCTCTAGTCCTTGCATAAAACAAATAATAAAATTTCAAAGAAATGAAATTTCTCCTGAATTTTGAGGTTATCTATGCATTTTGATTGGCGTGGCAGAAGCCAAGATGGTCGACCGTGATCTCAGACTTTCAACTCATCTCGTGAAACGGATAAATATCCGCAACAAACAGTGGCACCCGTCCCTCAACAATTGAATTATTCCCAATCACATTTGCGTTATTTTCACGAACAAATAGATGAGTTCTGTTGGGGTTTTACTCACGTCGAGCAGAGGTGATGTAGTTTAGGCATCGAACAGCGTCGCCATTAGGAAATAATGGGAGAAGTCACCGCCACTGTGCGGACGCATGTGTGTGTGTGGGCTCGACGCTAATGCCTCGCAGAATTCAACTCTGTCTCGTTTTTCGCGTGAAATTTACGCTTGAGCTATTGCAAATGCCACAATTCCATTAAATTCACTTCGATAGTCTCCTCCTGCCCTCCCTTCGGGAAAGAAAAAGCCATTTTTTAAATATAAAAAATATTTTATTGTAAGAACATATTTCAATTTTATCGTAACATATTTTGGAATTATTCTTCTAGGAAATTAACAACTGTGAGGAGAATTATTCATTTGAATAATTAGGACAGCCAGTCGTTCTCGATGTCAAGGTCCATTGGAGGAATGGGCGGTGGTTCCTCATGTGAAGCCAAAGTCATCTGAATAAATAATGAAAAAACGAATTACAGTAATTTTAATAAAACATGAAAAAAACGTTCTCTGCTGACCGATCAAATAAAGGCGGATGTTACAAAAGATCATAAGATTTAGGTGCCTCGTGGCGAGAAATCAGGGCTGATCTAGCCCTGAAATTCTCCCACAATTATGAATGCAATGCAGCCTCTGTGTTGTCCTCACATTACAAATATTGTTACAGAATGAAGTAAATGGAGAGGAGGGAGGCATGTGTAGATGTAAAACAAAGAAAAACATTTGTACCATCAAGGAAATGAATTCAGTAGCGAAGTGGTAAAACGATACAAGTTTTCAACGAATATCTCGGAATCTAACGGAGATATCAAAATTGTTGTCATAACCTTTTTTGTAGAGCCGATTGACTGCTACAATAAATGTAATTACGAAAATTTCGCTATCTCCCTTAGATTCGGAAATATTCCTCAAAAACTCAACTGAGAGATGAGTCAACTTAAACCGTTTTGCCACTTCGCTACTGAATTGACGAAAAAAGTTGACAATTCATTTGCAAAACGACAATATTCATTGTTGACTTTGTTTGTGTTGGCTTTGACTTGTGTTATTGAGACCCCTAGTCTGCAAAAGAGCCTCTTACATCCATCCCACGATCGGAGGACCCATCAACGTCAGGCAGCATCAGTCCCTCATCCCCCCTCGAACTGGCCTTCGACTCCCCCTCCGAGTCCTTCATCTCCGCATCAGACCCCACCCCCTCGCCCTTCTGTAAATGGTAGTTAGCAAGGACATATTAACATTAATAAATTCTGAAAGCAGAGGGTGATTGTAAATCGTTTGGTAAACAATGGTACACCAATAGCATAGGCCATCGATTAAATTCGAATATACGTAATTGATAAATTTTTTATATATTTTCTTTTTGGGACTCTCCACCAACTACGTCCTCGTCGTGAGTCCTGGGTAACGCCAAGAGTTGGTGAGGATTGAACTCTTCACCAGGAATCTGTTGGTTCCTTTAAGAACTTGGTTACCTCATTGAAAGAAAAGAATTTTAATTCTTCAAAAAATGAAGGTATTGCCATACGAAATTAATTTCATTTATTGTCGTAAGAAGGTACGACGGAGTTGAAGAAGGAATACCTTATATCCATTAAATTTAATTTTAAAAAACCTGATGGATATAATAAGAAAGGACCACAGCAACACTCCACTCAAGAACCCACAACTTATACGTTTTTGCATCAAAGGAGTACATAGTACCTTTGAAGATATTCGAATTCTAATGTTATACCAATCACTACCAAATCATTATAAAGATGGTTTTGAATACTAGAAGTGAAATAAATGAATTGGCCAGGGTAACTGATTTACCTCGCCCTTCCTCTCCTGCAACACCTGCAGAGTGATACTCCTGATGGTGCCCCCCAGGACACTCTTGATGTACCCAGTGCTGTAAGAGTCCTCCGTGAACTTGCCCACCAGCGCCTGATACGTCCTATTCATGATCTGCTTGACCTGTGCCCCATCCTCCTTCCTCTGGCCCCCCAGACTCTTCTCCAAGAATTTCCTCTCCGCCTCGATGCTCGCTATCCTGGCCTCCATTCCCGCGTTCTCCTTCTGATACTTGGCAGCAGCATCATTCGCCTCTTTGAGATCACCCAGCGATCTCTGAAGGGCCGACTGACTCTCCAACAGACACCCCTCAAGCCTCTGGACCCTCTCCCGAAGATCGAGTTTCTCCCTCTCGATCTCCCTCCTCTCCCTCTCGCTCCTCTCCAACTTCCTCAGGCATTCAGACAGAGACTCTCTCGTCCCTGGGGACGACTTATCGTCCGACGATTCGTTCTGCCTGCCATCCCCCCTCAGACCCATCAAGACTTTCAAACCCTCCAGCGACCTCTCATTCATCGGAGACGTGCACCTCTCCAGCTCCAGTGCATGGAACTTGTCCAGCAACTTCTGGACGTTGTCCGCTAGTTTGGACATTCCCATCCGAATCTCCGCGTTATGAGTCCTGGTCTCCGACAGGAATACGTTGACGTTGGGGTCGGTGGGCGCTTGCGGAAGAACCGGCGTCTGGTACGAGTACAAGTGCCCGTCATTCGACACGAATTGCTGGAGCGGTGTCCAGGACTGGGCGAAAGCCGGCACCACACTCCCAGAATTTCTGCTCTCCGGGGTTTGAACTGGACTCGGGGCGACACTCTTCACGTGGGGGGGCTCCACGTGACCTCTCGGCCGTCTGGGCTTCACCTGGACTTCCTCCTCGGTGTCCTCCGAGTCGGTCGTCGAGGTCGGCATCTTCGGCAGCATCGACTGCCCCATCTTCGCCATTCTTGATATCAACGAGGCCTTTCCGGCGGGCGTCGGCTTGGGGGAGGGCATCTTCACTTCCGGTTTTAGGATGTCGACGATCTCCACCTCCATCGCGATGTCGTGCTCCCGGGGATACCCGGGCCCCAGGCTTATTTGCTTGCTCGGGGGGAGGATCAGGAGGCGTTTGACGTTTGGGAGGACCCCCACCAGGGATTTCTCCCAGGTTTCGTCGGTGGTTATTCGGATTTTCATGCTCTGTTTCGGGGGAATCGGCAGCTTCAGGGGCTGCGTGACCCGCGGAATTATGGAGTACTCCACCTCCACCTCGTCATTCTCCTCGGCTTTTTTTATTTCGCCGTCTTTATCGGCTCTCGGGGGCGCCAAGTCCTGCGAGAAGACCGAGTCCGCCGGTCTTCCCGGCTGCAGGAAGTACTTGGCGACGCCAATCTCCCGCGCAAATTCGATCGAGGAGTCGGAGGTGTCGAAGAGGATCGACCAGTTGTCGTTGGCGGAGTCGTAGTAGCTCGCGTAGCTGTTCTCCCGGACGGAGTAGGGGAAGTCTGGGGTCAAGGTCACGACGGAGATGTGTTCTTGTTTGGTTTTGTAGAGGATGAGGAGGTAGGTCTGGCTCGAGGGGGTGCCCGCGAGGGCGATCCCCAGCTTGCCGATCAGGGAGTACTGCCCGGATTGGAGCTTGTACGCGTGGACAACTTTAGCGAGGATCACCTCGGTCTTTGGGGGGGCCGAGGGGGAGGGCGCGGGGGGCTTCGGCTTGGGGGGCGTCCTCTTCTGGGAGGACGCGAGCTCCAGGCGCTGGGGGGTGCCGAATATTGCGGCCAAGTTGGAACTGGTCGTGTGTGAATAATGAATTAATATTTTAGCGGGGGTGTTTCAGTTTAACGTAGCTCTACCCTTCGGCCGGGGTACGCTGTACTTTTGAATATTTTCAGAAAAAATTTGAAAAAAATTCATACCCAGTCAGTATTATCTAAATTAAATTTCGCAATATGTTGATATTTTTTCAAACATTTCCCTCTTACAAATAAATAATAAAACTTGTTTGCAAAATGGTGGATTATTTTTTCATCACTGAGACGTAAAATTTCATTTTACGCACCTTCTGCATTTTATTCAATAGAAATGTTCAATGGAAAATATTCTATAAAAAACAATAGAATACGATTTTTTAAATAACAATTGACGAAATATTCTCTATACAGAAATTTCTCGCCTCGAATTTTCCAAGTTTTTCTATTTGATTCTTTGAATGAGACAAGAAGTAGAATGAAAAAAAAAAAATTCATGTCGAAAAAATTTGAAAATGAAAAAATTATTTGAGGTGCATGTCTTACATGAAGAAATACAAAAAATACTTTTAGGTTAACAAGTGTTGAATAATATCACTTTTTTCTGAGAGTGGAAGAAAAAAGTGATATTATTTTTCTCTATTCATACTGATGATCTATTTTTCGGGGTTGATTTGAACAGATATTTTTCTTTCGAAAATAAATTCTCAATAGATGGTTTCAAGTATCAAAATATTAAATACATACCCACCCTGAGGTGTGAATTCCGGTTCGTCGTCATCTCGGAATAATTTATCGAGATTCGGAAGTTGATTCGAACGACTCATAATTGACAACAATACATCTGTCGACCATTCGATATTTTAAATTTTTTGTTTATCGCAATTTTTGCGAAAGAAATCAATCAATTAGTGTTGTTCAGTCTGACATATAGATATGACGCCCATTCCTGCAGTTGCATTACCGACGGTGTCAAGTGATAATTTTAACATGTCTTTTTATATTATAAATATTATAAAAATCCAAATCGACTTCTGGTGATAAAAATTTGGTACTTGAAATTAAAACTCCAAAATTAAGGGTTATAAGGGTCAAGATAGTGGTCATGAAGGTCAGAATCAGGGTCTCGAGGGTCGGAATAAGGGCCATAAGGGCCCGATTAAGGGTCACGAGGGTCAGAATAAGGGCCGCAAGGGCCCGATTAAGGATCATGAGGGTCAGAATAAGGTTGACGAGGGTCAAATTAAGATTCATGAGGGTCAGAATCAGGCTCACAAGGGTTACAAAAGGTCAGATTAAAGGTCACAAGGTTCGAATGGGTCACAAGGGTCCGATTAAAAGTCATGAGGATCAGAACAAGGTTCACGAGGGTCAGATTAAGGGTTACAAGGGTCAAATTATAGGTCACAAGGTTAGAATAAGGGTCGAAAGGGTCAGATTAAAGATCACAAGGATTAGAATAAAGGTCACAAGGGTCATGTGGGCAAGATTAAGGGTCCCAAAGGGTGTGGGTGTCAGAATGAAGATCACGAGGGTCAGATTAAGGGTCAGAATAAGGATTATGGGATTCTCCGAATTATTAGCGAGTGATAATTTCAGGCTGATGTCAAGAAAAAGAAAAATGTGAAAACAAACTCATTGAAATGAACTGCAAAAAGATGATTTTTTGTTTCATAATTTTTTTTTTCATTCTATAACCAGATGAGCAGACAACAATGCATGTTTACATTAATTACGATATCAATTAGATTCTGATTTGTTTAATCGGTAATACCTCCTCTACAAATTAATTGTGGAATTATTCGGTTCAGCGTGCAGGCTCGAATGTGTAGTGCACGACTCCAGGCTGTGGTATTTGCTTCTCAAGCTGTAAATAATTAATGGAAATAATTATTGCGATTGGTTTGTGCTTTAGTATGTGAGGAGACGAGGATTTTTGCAAAATCGATGGGGAGAAGTACTCACGACTGGTCTGAAACACTGATAGGGTTCGAGGAGGTAATGGAGTCCGAAGAAGAAAACCATTACTAGTGTAAATATTGTGGGAGCTTCACGATAACCGACCAATGGTTTCTCTCCAAAATCACAACGCTCTTCACCGAGGATGTTTCTCTCTACGTGAAGCTGAAATCGTTGTGATGGAATTAATTGGGGATTTAATTTTTTTTCTCCAACATTTCTGCCGCGAAAACTCATGCTAGCACTCATTTTTTCCCCCTTTATTTTCCTGTCACAGTTTCATTAGTTTTATTTATAAAAAAAGAGTGTCCAGACTAATGGATCGATTAATATCTTCGTTGAATAAAAAATCCAGTGTAACGTTTTAGAAGACACAAAAATTGATGACACAATACACCAGTGAAAATGAAGGTCTCCATTCAGTAGCGAAGCGGTAAACCGGGTTAAGTCGATTTTTACTATTGGCTAGTTTTTGACGAATATCTCGGAATCTAAAAGAGATAGAAAGATTTTTGTCATGACCTTTTTTGTGGAGCCAATAGAGCGTTATAAAAAAAGTCATGAGAAAAATTTTGCTATCTCTCTTAGATTCCGAGATATTCAGCAAAAACTGGCTAATAGTCAAAATCGACTTGACTCGGTTGACTACTGCATTCTATCAATAATTTTAATTGAATATGGGAAAGAGTGGGGGAATTACCACTTCACCGAAGTTTCTCTTCTCCTCCGGCCAATCGTAAGGATACCAGGGGTCCTTCAGGGCCACTCCGATCTTCGGGAGCTTGGGGTAGTCCCCGTGACCCCAGCCATCGTCGGGGTAGGGCTCGTACTCCTCGTAAGGCATTCCATATTTCTCGGCAGCAGCCCTCCTCTCCGCCTCGGTCTTCGGGTAGGGTCCGGGCTTCCAGTCATGATGCGTCAGTACCTCTGGCAATTACAAGCCAACATCATCATCATTATCATCACCATTTATTCTCTCTCCCTGATCAACACTCAGAGAATTAATTTGAGTTACGAAAGAAATGAGTTGAGAAGAATTTGGAACGAAAGTCTATCTGTTAATTCAAAAAAACATCAGGTTTTGGCTTCAGGTGACCTATTTCATCGTTAAGTAGACTCGCCAGTAATTATTGATAAATAAATTTGAGCATAAAGTGTAGTTAATTATTTTTCATTCTATGAAAATTCTTTTTTCAATTATATAAAATTTATTTCGGTACGGAATACGATCGCAGAAATAAAAAATGTTGATCTCCCTTCATTTTTTAAGAAGAAAAATACAATTTGAAATATTTCGAAAGAAAAACACGAAAAAATAGATTTGAACATGGAAAAAAATTAAATTAAATTGAATTTTTAAAAATGTGTTCTTGGGGTTTTCTGTGTTTTAATTTAATTTAAATTAATTAAATGATTTTGAGTCATGGGATATTCGAAATCAGTATATATCACTAATTAATTGTCAAATCGCGACGTTTCGATTTTTATTGAAGCTTCCTCAGGCTCTCTCATTGATACTAATTAATTCAAAGAATAAGAATAAGAATAAAATAATTAATATAAATATTAATGAATGAATAAATAAATAAAATCTCCCATCAATAAACGTCACTCCCCAACTGTCCCTTACGTAACGTTTAACCTCAAAAAAATTATTACACAACAGACTCCAAGACAAGACTAAACAATTAATCCCAATAATTAATTTATCCCTGATCAACACCAACAATCAAATAAACTCACTCGTCCTGACAACATTGTACAAAATCCCAGTGTTCTTCGAAGTTATCGGAGGAACAAAACTCTTCAGCTTTATAAGCAACGCCATATTTTCCCCGACGAACGTACACAAGAGCAAAAAAAAATAAAAACTCTCAGTGAGCCTATATACACCGGAGAGTTGGACACGAGTAGAGACAGGCGATACGCCTCGATATATGGAAGTGTCCGATATTTCATCGATATATCAGCGATATATTCAGATGAAAAATACAATTGTCAACATAAATTCTGTCCTACTAGCCTGAACTGAGTACGGCATGTGATTGGCCAGTTAAGAGTATCCCTCATTCCTCATTGGCCATGAGCCCCCACTCAGTTAAGGTTAGTAGAACAAGAACTTTTGTTCGTTGAGCCGATATACCGACATATATCGATATGTACCGATATATGTACGATATATATCGATATATTCGAACTCAGTTAAGGTTAGTAGGACAAGAACTTTTGTTCGTTGAACCGATATACCGATATATACCGAATGTATATCGGTAGATATATCGATATATACCGATATAATCGGTATATCGGTTCAACGATATTTTTTTCCGAATATCGACAGCTTCGAACCGATATTTCCAAATTATATCGATAATTGTGATTTCGATATTTCGTTCAATATCGCCAATCCCCAAGTTAGTCTCAGTGGAAACGAGACGGAAGTTGACTACAATTGTCACGTAAAAAATTTTTCCCCGCCCCAGAAGCATCTCCACCCCATCCCCCCGAAAAAACCCCACAAATTGAAAATACAAATGACAATAAACCAGAAAATGCAATCTGGGGAGCGATTTTGCTCGTTTTATATCGACATAAAATCATAAATTTCAACCAATCCTAGTTGAGTATTTCGAATTCAGGGCTGTCATTGGTTGAAATTTACGATTTTATGTCGACACAAAACGAGCAAAATCGCTCCCCTGACGTCAAGACAACTCGTCTTCCGCGAGGAATCGATCCCTCGGCGTTTGAATTTCCCGCCGCGGCGGTGAAGTCTGGCAATGCCGCACGTTGGCTGCGCGAAGCCGCCACGAAAATTATGGAAAAAAATGGACGGTGGCGTGTGTTCATTATCGCTCTGCTCCCCCGACTGCCGAATAATCCGTGAATAACTGATGATTAATTGAAATCGTGCAGTTGTTCTATGGAAAGAGGAAGTTAATTTTTTAAATTTCATCGACACAATCGCGACGTGACTAACGGTAAGTGAAAATGAACTAACGGGCTGACGATGGACGCTCCAATGGTGATCTGGCACTCGATGAAAATCGTTATTTGTTGATTTATTATTGGGCCGACGGTGGGGAGTCAGTGGAGTTGTTTTGATTGTTGAAATAGTGAGGGCTGTTTGGGAATTTTGACAGGGGATACTGCGGGGGGATAAACTGGAGTCGGATCGGAGCAACATGGCGAGCCCTTCGCCTCAGTCGTCGCCCATGCCACCACCTCAAGCCCCTAGTCCAATGGGCCCACCTCAGCAGGCACCGTCGCCTTCCAATCCTCAGGGGAGTCCTATGGGGCCACCACAGCATCATCCACACAGCCCCACGCAGGGGTATCCGGGGGGGCCAGCACCCACTGGAGCCCCCATGACACAGCCACCGCCACAGCAACCACCACAGGGGGCCAACTATCCACCACATTCGCAGGGAATGCCAGCTAATATGTCGCAGGTAACGATTTCATGGAATTGTGGGGAAAATGAGAAGTAGGGAATAGAGAATAGGGTGAAAGGGACATTTTAGACTTTTTTAAAATTATTCGTAACTCAGAAACAGTGTGGCACTGTCCCAATTTGACTTCAGAAAGGATAATTCTTAAGAAGGAGCTTGAAAAATGTGAAGCCCCACCTACAAACTCAATCACCCCTTTTGTGAAAACAACAGATGCAAAAATCTTGACAATATTGCACGATTTTTTCAAAAAACGAAAGATGAAGATCTGAAAAATTAACGAAAGTAAAAAAAAATGCGTATGTATAGCCAACTATCCACCACATTCGCAGGGAATGCCAGCTAATATGTCGCAGGTAACGATTTCATGGAATTGTGGGGAAAATGAGAAGTAGGGAATAGAGAATAGGGTGAAAGGGACATTTTAGACTTTTTTAAAATTATTCGTAACTCAGAAACAGTGTGGCACTGTCCCAATTTGACTTCAGAAAGGATAATTCTTAAGAAGGAGCTTGAAAAATGTGAAGCCCCACCTACAAACTCAATCACCCCTTTTGTGAAAACAACAGATGCAAAAATCTTGACAATATTGCACGATTTTTTCAAAAAAGGAAAGATGAAGATCTGAAAAATTAACGAAAGTAAAAAAAATGTGTATGTATAGCCAACTATCCACCACATTCGCAGGGAATGCCAGCTAATATGTCGCAGGTAACGATTTCATGGAATTGTGGGGAAAATGAGAAGTAGGGAATAGAGAATAGGGTGAAAGGGACATTTTAGACTTTTTTAAAATTATTCGTAACTCAGAAACAGTGTGGCACTGTCCCAATTTGACTTCAGAAAGGATAATTCTTAAGAAGGAGCTTGAAAAATGTGAAGCCCCACCTACAAACTCAATCACCCCTTTTGTAAAAACAACAGATGCAAAAATCTTGAGAATAATTTTTAATGTGGTCAATCGTCAATTATTTGAGATTGGCTGAGTAAAATTCTGGGATTTTTCTTTCATTTTGAAGGATTTTTGTTGGGTTTCAAAATGAGACATGTTGTTTTATAAATGGATCATTTAATTGGGAGATATTGAAAACTGAAGAAGATTCATTTTTCATCAACTTTTTTCATGGGTTTTATTCAATTGACAATAAGACGAGATTGGCTGAGTCAAAATCAACCATTTTCTCTTCATTTCAAAGATATTTTTTCCATCTTTAAAATGAATTTTGACTCATCCAAATCGCATCATTCGTTCAGGAGATATTGGTAATTCTATACGGACCATTTTACGAATCCTCAACTTAATCAATAATTTCTTTCAACAATTTCTCCCAAAACTAACTATTCCATAAAAAATATTTTCTCCTCATTTTTTATACAAAAATAGATATTCTCCAACAGGGAAATAATTCCCTAGTTCATTCTCCCCACAAGAAAAGACAAAAACGGAAATTTCTGGGATAAAATACAGTCACGAATATTTAATCTTCTAGTTCAACTGATTATTCTCTCAATACAAAAAATATTTCGTCAATTTCCCTCGGCTTCTGCTCTCCCATCAGCTTCTTTAATAATCCTCATCAGCTCCACAGCAATTTTTTCGTTGCACGCTCCAATCGCTCGTGGATGCATCAAGTCCACACGTTTTCCTGTCGATTATTTTTTCATAGAATGAGAAAAAAAGCCGTGACTATGTTTTTACACTAGTCAGATATTATCCTGCATATTTATCTCGCACATAAAACGAGTGTAATTACCGGTTACGCGATCGACAACAACTCCCCCGGCTTCGGAAATAATCAAGGACGGTGCTGCAATATCCCAAGTGCAAATTCCAGGTCCCTCTATCTGATAGCCCTCGACCACCCCGAGGGCGATGTAGCAGAGGGTTATAGCAGCTGAGCCAAGGGTTCTCAAGCTGTAGTTCAGAAGAGAATTTTTTTTTCATTTTGTCCAGCATTTTTTAGTTCTCGTATGAATTTTAGATCCGGGTGGACTATCTTTCGAACGTTATCTCGATTGTTTTTCCATTTTCATAGTGTAAAATATATCACAATTTCCGTTGGATTTTACATCACGCAGGGGCTTGAATGTTTTTCTTCTTTTGATTTTTGCTATTTTTTGCACTCACCCTTGGGTCTTCGTGGAGACTATCTTGATTCTCTCCAACATTTTATTTCGCAGGCTCTTCACTTTCAGGAAGCCTGTCTCCAGACAAACCATAGCTTTCGAAATATCTAAAAAATTTTGAGACAAAAATTAATTCATCCTGAAGAGCATCAACTCCATTTTTTTCATTCTTTCAATATTGAATTTACAGAAATGTATAACACATATAATACATTTTTATTATTAATTTTTATGAAGAATAAAATTGTTGAAGATTTATTTGAAGCCCCGGGTGTACTATCTTTCGAGCGTTATCTCGATGTTTTTTTTCGCCTTTCGTCATCTGAAGTTGTCAATTGAGTCCTGCATCATGCAGAAGTTTTGAAAAATTATGAATGAATAATCGAAAAAAAGTAGAAAAAATTCTTAATTTTTTCAAAGAGCATTTTTAATTTATATTCAGAATAAGTTGAATAACAAGAAATTGAAAAATGTATCTGATTTACGGTGACAAATGGCGGCCTCTCACCCAATATCATGCAGGGGGAAGACTGATTTCGTAAATCTTTTCCCACACTGCACAGAGACATTTATTACGGAAAAGGCTCTTTGAAAAAAGTTGTAATATTTTGGAGAATTTTTTAATCACACTTTTATCACATAAAAATGGCAGATGACTACAGACCACTGTTTTGAAAATTGAGATACCTAGCTGTCACTTCCCACGAGGAGTTAGTGTTTTGTTATCCACCCTGGAAAATGACAGCTAATAGATAATTTGCCACAGCGAATCAGATATCTGTAATTTCCACTTTTTTCAACCCATTCTGAATCTCAATTAAAAACGCTCTTTGAAAAAGTTCAGAATTTTTTCTATTTTTTTATCATTCTATCATAATTTTTGGGAATTTCTACATGATGTACCCAATTGACAATTTTGGATACCGAAAGATGAAAAAAATCCGGATAACATTCGAAAGGTAGTGCACCCGCGCCTGAAAACTATAAAATATTGAATTCAATATTTATTGTTTTTCAAATGCAATATTTTTATTATTTTGGTGTCTGACCGTCGACACTAGACGTCCTGATGGGCTTTCCATTCAAAAAAGCCCCTCTCCCTTTCCTGGCAGTGAAGAGCTGCTCCAGAATGGGATTGTACACTATTCCAATCCTCATTTCTTTGGAGATGGACAGCCCTATGACGATGCAGGTGTGAGGGAAGCCGTGAATGAAGTTCATGGTTCCGTCTATTGGGTCGATGATCCAGGTCGGGTCGTCTGTCAACTCTGGAATGTCATTCCCAGTCGATTCTTCCCCGATGAATCTGAATAAATTCAGGCTCTCTTAATACATAAAAATTATTGCATTTAATTCTTGAATGAGACAAATTATTGAACGAATTACTTCATCAGTTGCTCATTAATATTAGTTTGGGCTCTGGGTGGATAATTACTTGTGCGTGGGAAATTGTTGCCTCAATTTCCCAACGATTATGTCCTCTATCGCTCGATCGTACTCTGTCACCAGATCCCAGTCTCCCTGCTTCTCCTTGACTGTTTTATCAGCTACGATTGAACTCCTCATGACCTTCATCAAAGAATTAATATTGACACAAGAATTTTGTGAGGTTAAAATCCCCTGAAATTTTGATTGAAATTCCTCGGGAATTTGTAAAAATCTCATAAAATTCTACGAAATATTGAATAAAATCCTTTACAATCTCTGAAATTCCTTCAGAAATAGAATAATACGTTAGATCTTTCGAAAACAATTCAGAGTTTCTCTGAAATCTTTTTACATTCAAAAAAAATAAATCAACATAAATCAAATTTTAATAAATATTGAATAAATCTAATGAGTTTGTTAAATATTTATTAAAAATTAAATAAATAAAAATCATTCAACAATTACATAAATTATTAACCAACAATAATTGTTATTTTATAATTTAGTTTTCCAATAATCAAATAAATTTATGAAATAAAATGTTGAACAAAAATAAATTATTAGACATTTTATTTACTGAATTTATTTGTTTGAAGTATTTGTTTCCTCAATTTACCTGAGCGGCCTCGAGGGTCAGTCTCATCGCACTCTCGAAGAACAGATCCTCATCCCAGGCCATCCCTCAAGCTAATATCACCTCGTGCAATAGCTTGAGAGCAACAACTGAACTCCAGCAACGAAAAATCTCAATCTTTTAACTCCTCGCTGCACCTCCATTCTCTCGCCAAGGTCTCGATCTGAGCGGGGAGTCTTTTTTTTCCCCAGCAAGGCCATGAATATGTAAACATGCACAACATCTGTCAGCAGCTCGATTTGGGCGCTCCTTATCGTTATCAGGAATCCCTGCATGAGGCTGAGAAAATTTATCAAACCCAAGGCTTCTAATGAAAGGTTCATTAGAATCTTCCTGCAATAGTCAATCATTCTTTCATCAGACGAGTCACTCCACTCATCAAAAAGAATTCCAGCAATTTCAATTTCAATCTTTCATTTGCATTTAATTCTTTATTTGTTTTATCCAATTCCCATAGCACATTTCTTCAATTATTCGCTAATGAATGGACGGAATTGCATCTTTTTTTTTCAAATGTAGGCACTGTTGCGCCCTATCGATCGCCATTGATTAAAATTTAATTCATCGATGAGTTTTTTTGATTTTCGAGTTTTTTCGAAAATCGTTGTCCCACGATAACTAAAAAAATGTTCTGAATTGATTGAATGATGGCTTAAAAAATTTGTTCGGATGTCCTTTCGACCGAGTTCGAAGATGAAGGCGATAGCAATAATCGTTATTTTGATTGATTTGAAAAATTGCAAAAATTTTGTATTTTTTGAAAATGAGAATTCCGGGGATATCTTTGAATATCATGCCTCAAATGAATTCAATCACAGCTTAAAATGTTTGTTTTAATGCCATTAAGTCCAAGTTAAAAGACGATAACGATAGCTGTATTGGTCGATTTGATTTTTATGATGATTGTTGAAAATTTCGAATTTTTCATGAATTTCCCTGAGAGTGAGCTTTCCCACTCTCTTCAAATGTGATGTTTTCAAATTCATTCAAGTATGTGTAAATAAAATTTTTCTATTAACATTTTATCGAAGGGCTGAGGGGAGAGATAGAACTGTAAAAAGACAATCGGTTGTACAGAAGAAAGGGACGATAAGAATAATGACGATGATAACATTCAACTAAGTTGAAAATCTGACAAAATCAGTTGAAAGGAAATCTTATTCAATTTAATAAGATGAAATAAACAATGAATTATGCATGATAGAAGGCAGTGATGTGAAAAATAACCGTTGGGAAGCATATTGCTAATTTATTAGTAAAAATGACTACTCTATGCAATACAGGAGCAATTCCCCACTTGTTTTTTTTTTCTGATTGTCATTCTACCGTGAGACGTCATTACTATAACTACATTGTAAAAATCGCGGGGTAATTTATGTTCGTTTCAGTCGTTTTCTTTGTATCTTCAAGTCCGTTTCAATTATTAGTTGAGAAACTTCCTGGGCGAGTTGAGAGGTCCCCGACGCTATTATCAAGGGCTCCAGGAGGTTGGGAGGTCCGCCTGGAATAAAAATCCAGCGAATGAATTGAATTTCGTCGCGTTGATGGGGAATTCAGGCCGATTTAGGGAGAAATTCTGACCTTTTGTGTCGATAACAGTTCCTCCGGCCTCTGTTACCAATAAAAATCCCGCTGCCACGTCCCAGGGCTGCATGTAGTCCAGATGGAAAACGTCTATTATACCTCTCGCTACGTATGCCAATGCCAGAGCTGCCGATCCCACATTTCTGATTCTTCAGATAATGAGGAAGAATCGTAATTATTTCTCTTACTCTGCATACTCGGAATTCAATCGCCAATAACTCGAGAACGGCTGAGTGAAATCGTCCAATGTTTTTTTCATTTTCAAGATCATTTCTTCAGCTTCAAAATGAGCGCTAACTCGTCGAAATCGCATCGTTGCGTTTCGAGATATTGACGATTGAAACAAAAGGGTTTTATCCCACTCGTCAGATTTTTCTACTGAATTTTTGTAATTGGATTTTATCGAGAATATGAAATTGTTGTCGGGGATGTTTTTGGTATTGAGAGTGACATTACCCTCTAGCTGAGGAACAGAGGACTTCCATCCGCCCCTTGGCAATGTCCAGGTGGGCCCTCGTTCGTCTGAGGACCCCAGGCTCGATGATCATCAGAGCTTCTGATAATTCTGAAAGAAATCTCCCCCATTCAATTCATCTCACCCAATTTTCTCATTTCCAGTCGTTTTACCTGTCACGTCTGAAACTCTCAACTTTTTTTCATTCAAAAATGCCCCCTGCCCCCTCTTTGCAGTGTACAACTCGTCATTAGACGGATTGTAAATGATCCCCACCTCTAGTATTTTATCTATCGTCAAGCCTATTGAGATGCAGCACTGGGGGAACGAGTGGACGAAGTTTACTGTACCATCTATTGGGTCGATGATCCATGTGGGGGCGTTTGTCAGCACTTGTTGGGCATTTTCCGTCGACTCCTCAGCAATGAATCTAACAAAATCAATTACGATTCAAGTCGACGCAGATCTCAGCCGAGTTTTCGGCGAATATCTCCGAATCTGAGAGAGATAGCGAAATTTTTGTCATGACCTTCTTTGTAGATCTGAGTCCGCTCTACAAAAAAGGTCCTGACAAAAATTTCGCTAGTTGCCTCAGATTCGGAGATATCTATTGAAAACTGACCAATAGTCAAAATCCATTCAAGTCGCTCAGCTCTTGGAGTTTTCGATGAATATCTCCGAATCTAAGGCAGATAGCAAAGTTTTTATAATAACCTTTTTTATAGATCCAAGTCCGCTCTACAAAAAAGGTCCTGACAAAAATTTCGCTAGTTGCCTTAGATTCGGAGATATCCATTGAAAACTGACCAATAGTCAAAATCCATTCAAGTCGCTCAGCTCTTGGAGTTTTCGACGAATATCTCCGAATCTAAGGCAGATAGCAAAGTTTTTATAATAACCTTTTTTATAGATCCAAGTCCGCTCTACAAAAAAGGTCATGACAAAGATTTCGCTATCTGCCTTAGATCCGGAGATATTCACTGAAAACCAATAGTCAAAATCGACTAGACCCGTTTTATCGCTTCGCGGCTGAATTAAATTAAACCATTCACACGTTTTGAATTTTTTTAACGTACTTGTGCTCTGGAAATGCGGACGACAGTCCAGAAATCAAAATCTTCTCAATTTCCTGGTCACTAGCCGTGACGATGTCACCTTGATTGCCTTTCGCCATTACCTTTTTCTCGGATTCGAGCGCAGCCTTTAATAACTACAGACCGACACAATTATTCTTCATTTTACTCCCTTGTCGCATTATTCTGGGATTAATTAGTTGAATAATTATCAGTGATACATTTATCTGACGTCATGTAAACTCGAGAAGTATTTCCGTGTGACGCATTATCCTTTTTAGGTATTTGTCTGAATGGAAATGATTCAATTTTACGAACCTTGCCGGCTTCGAGAGTTAATTTCTTGGCGATTTGGAAGAATCGCTCGATTTCTTCTGATTTTTCCATGCTTGAACGCGTCTTCCCATTGAGATTGCACGAGTTCACCTACTGCCCTAGTTGATCGAGCACAGATTCTTATCAGAATTCGAGATAATCAAATGATAAAGAAATGAAATACTGCTCTTTGTTACGTGAGGTAATTATTCTCGTCTTCAGAACTCGTGCAACAGCTCTGGAACACTTGCCACAACTGCTCTCTGCCGAGCCTCGTATCACGATAATTAACGCTATTAATTAATCCCTGACCTTCTGTTTCATTTAATTCAAAAATCATAGCCAATTGTTTCGCGATGCGTCTGAGGGGATCTAGTTTATTGACATGAACACGTTATTTACAAAGGTTTAGCATTTCAACACATATTTTCGTTCCTCAACTACACGTTCTAGTTCTTCATGCTGCTCTCTTGCGATGAGTCTTCTTGTCAGCAAGACTCACAAGCTTGACAAGTTCAGGGGCAATTTTCTTGTTGCCAATGGCTAGTAATCTCGGCTTCATGAGATCAAAGTCACCGCCAGATGTATCGATGACTTCTCCCCCAGCTTCACGAATTATTAGGGCACCAGCTGCTACGTCCCAGGGCATGAGGTTGTCACTGTGGTAAACCTCAGCTGCTCCCATTGCAACGTAGCACAAGGTCAGTGCCGCAGAGCCCATGGTTCTTATTCCATGGGCTACTGTGACAAATGCCTCAAGTCGACCGAGCACTATGTCCCTGATGTCCTCGATCGTTGCGTATGACGCCTCGATGCAGATCAGCGAGTCCTTCAGTTCTTGAGACAAATATGGGATCAAACTTGGTCTGATTGTCAATGCTGGAGGAGTGATGATTTTTACCTGATACGCCGGAACTTTTTATCGATTTTCCGTTGAGATAAGCCCCACCTCCTCGTCTGGCTGTGAACATCTGCTCCAGAACTGGATTGTAGACAATGCCAATCTCAAGCTGACGTTTGATACTCAGGGCTATTGATATGCAGGTGTGGGGAAACGCGTGGACGAAGTTCGTTGTACCGTCGATTGGATCGATTATCCAGGTTGGAGCGTCCGTTAGGTCTGGGAGGTAGTTTGTACTCGAGACTGTCTCTTCGCCGATGAATCTGTTCAATTTTTTCTATCAGTAAAAGTTTCGGAAAAACATCCCTGGGGATTTTTTTCAAAGCTCGAGAATAAAAGTGTCGCATTTCTAGATGATAAAGGCTATTCGAATGATTAAAGTTTACATCAACTCACTGGTGACTCGGAAATTCATTGGCAAGTCCATTGATCAGGATCTCCTCGACTTTCTTGTCGTACTGAGTCACCAAGTCCCAATCGCCAGCTTTGGTTTCTATATTTTTTCCACCCTGGATTGCTTCCCTGATGACCTGAACTCGGATTTGTCGTTAATTTTCTCGGGAATTTGGGGTTGAAATTGTCGCTTACCTTTGCGGATTCAATAGTCAATTTCATAGCGAAATCGAAACAATGATCCAATTCCTGCTCGTTTGCCATTATCAACGGTATCTGAGGGGCTTTAAATTTGTAGCACTGTTTTTAGGTCTAGTTTATCAACCGTCTGGTGTCAAAGTGACGTGACATTGCCAGAACTAGCAGTACTTATGCGTTAACCCCGAGGTAATCCCCACCATCCCTTAAATGCTGATGCGCGCACGCTACATGCCACTCGATAGACACTCACAATGGATATTTCCATTGGAAATTGCTGGGTTTGATATTATCGCACACTTTGGTATTTGCCTTCGTGCCGTTTTCCATTTCAATAATTCGTGATCTATCAATATTTTTCTTTTGCAGTTGAACAGCGTGGAATGTATTGGAGAGAATTACTGGATTTAATTTCATTACGTCCGGAGACGGATTTGAACTCACAACCTTCAGATTACTGGGCTATGCTCTTACCAATTGAGTTGACAAAAATATTAGCAATTTTTTTTAGAAGTTATGGGAAACTCGTAAGTTGTGGACAATTGAAAATCTCAATTGGTCATAATTTTTTGTACGATTTTTCAAAATAAAAAAAAATGGGTGATATTTTTTTCTCAAGGGGATTTGAACCCACAACCTTCAGATTACTAGACTATGCTTTTACCAGTTGAGCTATCAAAAATATTTTACATATTTTTTTCATTTTGGTAACTCATGAAAAATATAGATACTACAGGAAATTAAAAATGTTTGTCATTGTGACGTCATTTTTTATTGCCCGTAACTTTTCAATTTTTCATCATTCATCAGAATAAAAAAATAAGTATTAAAAAAATTATCCTCGACGGATTTGAACTCACAACCTTCAGATTACTAGACTATGCTTTTACCAGTTGAGCTATCAAAAATATTTTACATATTTTTTTCATTTTGGTAACTCATGAAAAATATAGATATTACAGGAAATTAAAAATGTTTGTCATTGTGACGTCATTTTTTATTGCCCGTAACTTCAATTTTTCATCATTTATCAGAATAAAAAAATAAGTATTAAAAAAATTATCCTCGACGGATTTGAACTCACAACCTTCAGATTACTAGACTACGCTTTTACCAATTACGCCACCTCAAGGTGTCAAAAATATTTTTTCATCTTCATAACCAACGGAAAATACCGAATTGTAGGCAATTGATGCAAAATTATCATCACTTCATCTTGAAAGCTAATTCTCCCATTTTTTCAATTGGATACTGCCATTATCATAACTCAAAGTCAATCGGCAAAGAGCATAATGCCAGGATAATGCACAAGTTCATCGTCTGATAAAGAAAATGAGTAATATATATCCAACGTTGACAGGTGCAATTCGTAGCACGTGTTGGTGTATCATAATATCATTGCCTTTTGTTTCCAATTCCATCGGCGTTCACGGCCCGAGTGCTGGGTGATCACGTACACGTTGCATGGTGCCCTGCAAACCCGGACATATCTGTTATTCATTCGGCGAAATGTCTTTTGTCCTTCATTTTCATGGAAAATTGCTGTGATTGATTAAAAACCATTCGCATTGCGAGAAAGTAAAAAATCCATATTTTCCCAAAATATAAAAAAAAAATCCTGAAACTTTATCTCCGAGCGCTTCACAAACGAAACATAACTGCGTACTATTTTCAACCGTAGGCAATCGAGTAATTGCCTCAGTCGGAAAATTTTCGTGCAACAGTTTAAAGAGGGGCGAATATAAATTTCACAATTGAACAATTGGTCTCAATGTTCGATGTCCCTAATAGCCGCCTGAATTTTGGCCGTCAATTTCAAGGATAAACTTTAAAAAAAATTTTGTCTGTCAGCAGTCAATCTCATGCGGAGTAGGGCCAGGCTCGGGCCCAATGGGTCCAGGACAAATGGGTCCAGGAGGTGCCCTCCCAATGGGTGGTGGGCCCAACCAGATGGGACCAGGAGGTAAAATCCCCCTCGAATACCCCTCCCCCCCGCCCTCTGCCCTTAATTATCTCACCAGCAAATATTTAATCCCTAGGAAGCCAAATGGGCCCAAGCCAAATGCAACAGCAGCAAGGGCCCCAGAACGCCCCCCCGATGTCGGGAGGGGTCCTGCACATGTCAGGCCCCCCCTCAGGTCACATGAACTCATCGATGCCGAGTCACATGCCCCCAGGTGGGCCCCAGAACAGCCACATTCCGCCAGGTGGCCACATGGCCAATTCCTCCTCAACGGGCCACATGAATCAAGGCCACATGCCACCAGGGGGCCCGCCCCCTCCCCCAATGTCGCAGACGGGTCCGGGGGGTGGTCCCCACATGCCCCCAAATCAGATGTCAGGCCCAGGTCAGATGATGACGGGATCAGGCTCGAGCCAGATGCCACCGAGTGCGAGTATGGGTCCCCAGATGGGTCAGAGGGGGCCGGGCCCCCACATGCCCCAGAGCGAGATGATGTCGGGGGGCCAGATGCCCCAGGCAAATCCCAATATTCAGGGGGGCCCGCCCCCCTCCGGAGGTCACATCCCTCCGAATCAGATGCCAGGGGCCCAAATGATGCCCTCCGCTGGCAGCCAAATGCCCCAGGGCCCCATGAATCAGGCCCCTGGGCACATGCCCCCCAGTCAAATGATGCCTGTGTCTGAAACCAATCAGATGCCACCGGGCCCTCCTCCAATGTCCGGCAATGGGTCCAACCAGATGGGCCCTGGGATGAACCAGATGCCCAACCAGATGCCCCCAGCCAATCAGAACCCTCCGATGCAGGGGGGCATGGCCCACATGAGTGGCCCACCGACGTCAGGGCACATGAACGCGAGTCACATGCCACCGGGGGGGCCCCCTCCCATGAATCAGAGCAGTCAGGCCCACATGGCTGGAGGCCCACCGGGGAGTGCTGCTGGGCACATGCCCCCAGGAACCCCCAACAGTCAGATTGGGCCCAACAGTGGGCCCTCACCGATGAGTCCCAATAACTCGACCACTCAGGGGGCACCTGGGCCTGCCGTGGGGCCTCCAATGCCCCCCAACTCAGGACAGGAGAACCTCAATGCCCTGCAGAAGGCCATCGACTCGATGGAGGAGAAAGGACTGCAGGAGGACCCTCGTTACTCTCAATTACTGGCACTGAGGGCCAAACAGGGGAGTGGAATGGGGGAGAAGCAGACCTTCAGCTCACAGCAGCTTCAACAACTTCGAGTGCAGATCATGGCGTATCGACTGCTCGCCAGGAATCAACCTCTGTCCCAACAGCTGGCCCTCGCTGTTCAAGGTAATTTTTTTTGTTTTTTTTTGCTTTTGGGTGACTACTCTTCTTTTGTTCCCTTGGACTGTCAGCCGAAAATTTGAATTTTTTCGTTTGTTTTTAATTGATGACTGTGGGGGGGCCTGGGGTTTTTCAGCAATTGAATTGGTGATAATTTAAAAAGTGCAATTTTTGAAAATTAAGAGCACTTTCAATGAAAAATTAGTAATTTATAGAATTTATAATATATTATAATTTATAACGTAATAATTTCTCACGAAAATTCTATGGGGATTAAATCCTGAAAAAATAATAAGAGGATACCTCACGCTAATCTCCATAAATAAATGGAAAAACCTCAATTTTTCACAGGAGGTAAATCATCCCATCAATTTATTTCCCACATAATACGAGCCCCTAAACCCAAGAAGATCAAAAGGGGGGGGCGAAGCCCCCCCCAAATAAATGA